TTATAAGACATTTATGGGAAAAGACTATTTTCTTTTCAAGATGTTTCCAACTGTAACTTTGAACCAATTCTGTAGAATGGCCCATATAGGATTTGACCAGGATTTGTTTCCAGGTATGACTAAAAATGTGCTTTTGGCTTTCATTTATATTTTGATTGTTTGTATATATATATATACACACTCACCGGCCACTTTATTAGGTACCCCATGCTAGTAACGGGTTGGACCCCCTTTTGCCTTCAGAACTGCCTCAATTCTTCGTGGCATAGATTCAACAAGGTGCTGGAAGCATTCCTCAGGGAGTTTGGTCCATATTGACATGATGGCATCACACAGTTGCCGCAGATTTGTCGGCTGCACATCCATGATGCGAATCTCCCGTTCCACCACATCCCAAAGATGCTCTATTGGGTTGAGATCTGGTGACTGTGGAGGCCATTTTAGTACAGTGAACTCATTGTCATGTTCAAGAAACCAATTTGAAATGATTAGAGCTTTGTGACATGGTGGAAGTAGCCATCAGAGGATGGGTACATGGTGGCCATAAAGGGATGGACATGGTCAGAAACAATGCTCAGGTAGGCCGTGGCATTTAAACGATGCCCAATTGGCACTAAGGGGCCTAAAGTGTGCCAGGAAAACATCCCCCACACCATTACACCACCACCACCAGCCTGCACAGTGGTAACAAGGCATGATGGTTCCATGTTCTCATTCTGTTTACGCCAAATTCTGACTCTAACATCTGAATGTCTCAACAGAAATCGAGACTCATCAGACCAGGCAACATTTTTCCAGTCTTCAACTGTTCAATTTTGGTGAGCTCTTGCAAATTGTAGCCTCTTTTTCCTATTTGTAGTGGAGATGAGTGGTACCCGGTGGAGTCTTCTGCTGTTGTAGCCCATCCGCCTCAAGGTTGTGCATCTTGTGGCTTCACAAATGCTTTGCTGCATACCTCGGTTGTAACGAGTGGTTATTTCAGTCACTGTTGCCCTTCTATCAGCTCGAACCAGTCTGGCCATTCTCCTCTGACCTCTGGCATCAACAAGGCATTTCCGCCCACAGAACTGCCGCTCACTGGATGTTTTTTCTTTTTCGGACCATTCTCTGTAAACCCTAGAGATGGTTGTGCGTGAAAATCCCAGTAGATTAGCAGTTTCTGAAATACTCAGACCAGCCCTTCTGGCACCAACAATCATGCCACGTTCAAAGTCACTCAAATCAACTTTCTTCCCCATACTGATGCTCGGTTTGAACTGCAGGAGATTGTCTTGACCATGTCTACATGCACTGAGTTGCCGCCATGTGATTGGCTGCTTAGAAATTAAGTGTTAACGAGCAGTTGGACAGGTGTACCTAATAAAGTGGCCGGTAAGTGTATATGTGTGTGTGTGTGTGTGTGTGTATATATATACACTCACCGGCCACTTTATTAGGTACACCTGTCCAACTGCTCGTTAACACTTAATTCCTAAGCAGCCAATCACATGGCGGCAACTCAGTGCATTTAGGCATGTAGACATGGTCAAGACAATCTCCTGCAGTTCAAACCGAGCATCAGTATGGGGAAGAAAGTTGATTTGAGTGACTTTGAACGTGGCATGATTGTTGGTGCCAGAAGGGCTGGTCTGAGTATTTCAGAAACTGCTAATCTACTGGGATTTTCACGCACAACCATCTCTAGGGTTTACAGAGAATGGTCCGAAAAAGAAAAAACATCCAGTGAGCGGCAGTTCTGTGGGCGGAAATGCCTTGTTGATGCCAGAGGTCAGAGGAGAATGGCCAGACTGGTTCGAGCTGATAGAAGGGCAACAGTGACTGAAATAACCACTCGTTACAACCGAGGTATGCAGCAAAGCATTTGTGAAGCCACAACACGCACAACCTTGAGGCGGATGGGCTACAACAGCAGAAGACTCCACCGGGTACCACTCATCTCCACTACAAATAGGAAAAAGAGGCTACAATTTGCAAGAGCTCACCAAAATTGAACAGTTGAAGACTGGAAAAATGTTGCCTGGTCTGATGAGTCTCGATTTCTGTTGAGACATTCAGATGTTAGAGTCAGAATTTGGCGTAAACAGAATGAGAACATGGAACCATCATGCCTTGTTACCACTGTGCAGGCTGGTGGTGGTGGTGTAATGGTGTGGGGGATGTTTTCCTGGCACACTTTAGGCCCCTTAGTGCCAATTGGGCATCGTTTAAATGCCACGGCCTACCTGAGCATTGTTTCTGACCATGTCCATCCCTTTATGGCCACCATGTACCCATCCTCTGATGGCTACTTCCACCATGTCACAAAGCTCTAATCATTTCAAATTGGTTTCTTGAACATGACAATGAGTTCACTGTACTAAAATGGCCTCCACAGTCACCAGATCTCAACCCAATAGAGCATCTTTGGGATGTGGTGGAATGGGAGATTCGCATCATGGATGTGCAGCCGACAAATCTGCGGCAACTGTGTGATGCCATCATGTCAATATGGACCAAACTCCCTGAGGAATGCTTCCAGCACCTTGTTGAATCTATGCCACGAAGAATTGAGGCAGTTCTGAAGGCAAAAGGGGGTCCAACCCGTTACTAGCATGGGGTACCTAATAAATTGGCCGGTGAGTGTATATATATATATATATATATATATATATATATATATATATATATATATATATATATATATATATGTAGGCTATATATATACAAGAAAAAATGCTATGACAATATATATATATTAGGGCTGTCAAATGATTAATCGTGATTAATCACATCCAAAATAAAAGTTTTTTTTACATAATATATGTGGGTGCACTGTGTATAATTATTTTATATATATAAATACACACACATGCTTGTATATATTTAAGAAATATTTTCATGTATATACTGTATATAGATTTATATATAATTTATATTATATAGAAATATAAATATTTTATATATAAATAATATTTTTTTCTTAAATATACATGCATGTGTGTGTATTTATATATATACAAAATAATTATACACAGTGCACCCACATATTTTATGTAAAAAAAACTTTTATTTTGGATGTGATTAATCGTGATTAATCATTTGACAGCCCTAATATATATATATATATATATATATATATATATTAGGGGTGTAACGGTACACAAAAATCACGGTTCGGTACGTACCTCGGTTTTAAAGTCACGGTTCGGTACGTTTTCGATACAGCAAAAAGTAAGAAATGCCAGAGAAATTTCCTATTTGTTAAAAGAAAAAATATTTTTTAAATAAGTGAGTTTTCCTACATCTTGAAACTTTCAGGTTTATAAATGGGGGTCATCTTTGAAGGATGAACAAATAATGTTTTGGTCATCACATTAAAAATAACATTTAAATATATGAAGAGTTTAGATGCAAAAGCCATTTGAAATTTTCTTAGAATGATAATTTTTATCAAGCTTGTATATTTAAGTTCAGTAATTTCACTTAAATGGCAATGAAGATTGCCTATTAATTGTCATTTGAGTGAAATTACTGAACTTAAATGTACAAGCTTCATAAAAATGATCATTCTAATTTCTAGAAGAAAACTTCAAATGGCACTTATAGAGGCTTTTGCATCTGAACTCTTCATATAGGCTATTTATTTATATAATATTTGAGTTTTGAAGTGCTGGAAAAAGATGTGTGAAGTACTTGAAAGCATTTCACTATTCCAGCCAAACTGGTTACAGTTAGTGGTACTATATTAAATTCATGGTGGATGTTGCTGGTCTGTGGACGTAAAGTATTACTAGTTCATTCACGGCACAATATTTCTCCTGGTGTCCACGTCAGCGCTGTTTGATCTAATAGAGATCTACGGTTAATAACGGAGAAATGTGAATGCTTCTCACTAGATCTCGCAGCGATGTTATTACTTCAGTGGCGAACTCAAATGTTTTCTTTACTGGATCTCTTAGCGCTGTGTTGTAACGGTTGTAACAGTGTCGCTTGATCGAGATCGGCTCCCGCTGCACAGATGTTGCTGCTCTGCTCCGAACTGATAAACGATGCGTGAAGCACAATAGCGCAGTTTCGTTCCGGTTTCATTACGTTTGCCATTTGATGTTGCGCAACGTTGTGGTGATCGCGCCAGCGCGAATTTTGTCGGCAGGAAAAATGGTCCTAGGAATCGTTCGGTTTGTATGCGTACCGAACCGGAAGCCTCGAACCGAAACGGTTCAATACGAATACATGTACCGTTACACCCCTAATATATATATATATATATATATATTGTCCTTGCATTCTTTCTTGTGTGACACCCCTGAATGAAAGGCTCATTATTATGCAGGGTCACTGTCTGAGAACCACTTAATTATTCATGATAGGGGTTGGGCCGTTCCGCCCATCCGCATATTGCCTTGGCAAACAAAAAAATGTTTTTCACAATTTAAAACAATCTATTGTTTTATGTGAATGATTAGGAAGGATGATTTTCAGATCATTTTGAAGCAAAAACTCTAGGCGACAACGTACATTAGTCAAAAGTCTTGTGGACAAATATTTAGTATGTTTTTTGGGTCCTTATTTCAAAAACTTAATTTTTTAGTTTTTTCAATAACCACGCATAAACAATATTCTCTCAAAAATACAAACATGTACATACATGTTGCTCACACATTATGGTAGCCCTGTTTGTGCTAAATAGAGTGTAATTTCACCTGTGCCATTAATATGTTTATAAGCAACTGAAAAAAGCACAAATGTCAGAGCATGTCAAAACATCTCAAGGACCCCAAAAACACCTTGGTCCCCAGAGGGTTAAAGGTGCGCACATTCTCCCGTCAAGTTTTTCCCGTCCCTTTGCTTGGAAACTGGCGTACGTACGTTTCCAGCCCTGTTTTGTGCGTACGCACGCTTTATAAATGAGACCCCAGAACAGGGTTAAAGTGTCAGATGCTCAGATGGAAAACCCTTATAAATAATTACATGTCATTTCACCAAACTATAACACTAAGGCTGAAAAGTAAAGCGGTCACCAGTCTCATGTAGAGCTCGGTGTCCTTCTCCTTGAGCTTGGAGAACACGCTCTCCATCTTGAAGGTGATGCCGCACTGCGAGTCGTCCAGGCTCTTGATGAAGTTATCTCTGTTCTCAGACATCAGGTTCGTGAAGCAGAAGAAGGTGTCGGCCTCCGCGTGTTCTGAGACGCAAGAACACACACTCTCTAATCTAGGACTAATGCACACAATCCACAACAGTACACCGCAAGACAAGCCTTCTTACTTCGTATGTGTGTCTTGTTTCCAGTCCAAATATCTAAACATTCTTAAATCAAGAAGCATTTACCCGAGAACTAAACTAACATAAGAAATTCTATCTTGTTTTCTGATAAATAAATAAAAGTACACTGGGGAACACTGAGGAACACTGAGGAACACTGAGGAACACTGAGGAACACTGAGGAACACTGAGGAACACTGAGGAACACTGAGGAACACTGAGGAACACTGAGGAACACTGAGGAACACCGAGGAACACCGGGGAACACTGGGGAACACCGAGGAACACTGAGGAACACTGAGGAACACCGGGGAACACTGGGGAACACCGAGGAACACCGAGGAACACCGAGGAACACTGGGGAACACTGGGGAACACTGGGGAACACCGGGGAACACCGAGGAACACTGAGGAACACCGAGGAACACTGGGGAACACTGAGGAACACTGGGGAACACTGGGGAACACTGAGGAACACTGAGGAACACAGGGGAACACTGAGGAACACTGAGGAACACTGAGGAACACAGGGGAACACTGGGGAACACTGAGGAACACCGAGGAACACCGGGGAACACTGAGGAACACTGAGGAACACTGGGGAACACTGGGGAACACTGGGGAACAACGAGGAACACTGAGGAACACTGAGGAACACCGAGGAACACTGGGGAACACCGAGGAACACTGAGGAACACTGAGGAACACTGAGGAACACCGAGGAACACTGAGGAACACTGGGTAACACTGAGGAACACCGAGGAACACTGAGGAACACTGGGTAACACTGAGGAACACTGGGGAACACTGAGGAACACTGAGGAACACCGGGGAACACTGAGGAACACTGGGTAACACTGGGGAACACCGGGGAACACCGAGGAACCCTGAGGAACCCTGAGGAACACTGAGGAACACTGGGGAACACTGGGGAACACTGAGGAACACAGGGGAACACTGAGGAACACAGGGGAACACAGGGGAACACTGGGGAACACTGAGGAACACAGGGGAACACTGAGGAACACTGAGGAACACTGAGGAACACTGAGGAACACCGAGGAACACAGGGGAACACTGAGGAACACCGAGGAACACAGGGGAACACTGAGGAACACCGAGGAACCCTGAGGAACACTGAGGAACACTGGGGAACACTGGGGAACACAGGGGAACACTGAGGAACACAGGGGAACACTGAGGAACACTGAGGAACACTGGGGAACACAGGGGAACACTGGGGAACACTGAGGAACACAGGGGAACACTGAGGAACACTGAGGAACACTGGGGAACACTGAGGAACACCGAGGAACACTGGGGAACACTGGGGAACACTGAGGAACACAGGGGAACACTGGGGAACACAGGGGAACACTGAGGAACACTGAGGAACACAGGGGAACACTGAGGAACACTGGGGAACACTGGGGAACACTGAGGAACACTGGGGAACACTGAGGAACACTGAGGAACACAGGGGAACACTGAGGAACACTGAGGAACACAGGGGAACACTGAGGAACACTGGGGAACACTGGGGAACACTGAGGAACACTGGGGAACACTGGGGAACACAGGGGAACACTGAGGAACACTGAGGAACACAGGGGAACACTGAGGAACACAGGGGAACACTGGGGAACACTGGGGAACACAGGGGAACACAGGGGAACACTGGGTAACACTGGGTAACACTGGGTAACACTGAGGAACACTGAGGAACACTGGGGAACGCTGGGGAACACTGGGGAACACTGGGTAACACTGAGGAACACTGAGGAACACTGAGGAACACTGAGGAACACTGAGGAACACAGGGGAACACTGAGGAACACTGGGGAACACTGGGGAACACTGAGGAACACTGAGGAACACAGGGGAACACTGAGGAACACTGAGGAACACTGAGGAACACTGGGGAACACTGGGGAACACTGAGGAACACTGAGGAACACTGGGGAACACTGGGGAACACCGAGGAACACTGGGGAACACTGAGGAACACTGAGGAACACTGGGGAACACTGAGGAACACTGGGGAACACTGGGGAACACAGGGGAACACTGGGGAACACTGAGGAACACAGGGGAACACTGGGGAACACTGAGGAACACAGGGGAACACTGAGGAACACAGGGGAAAACTGAGGAACACTGAGGAACACTGGGGAACACTGAGGAACACTGGGGAACACTGGGGAACACTGGGGAACACAGGGGAACACTGAGGAACACAGGGGAACACTGGGGAACACTGAGGAACACAGGGGAACACTGAGGAACACAGGGGAAAACTGAGGAACACAGGGGAACACTGGGGAACACTGGGTAACACTGAGGAACACTGAGGAACACTGAGGAACACTGAGGAACACTGGGGAACACTGGGGAACACTGGGGAACACTGAGGAACACTGAGGAACACTGAGGAACACTTGTTTTAAGCAAAAACTCAATTTACTTTTTTTATATCAGAAAACAAGATAGATTTTCTCATGTCATTTTACTTCTCTAGTAAATGCTTCTTGATTTAAGAATGTTTAGATGTTTTGACTGGAAACAAGACGAACATACTAAGTAAGAAAAGCATTTTTTCAGTTTAGGAAGCAGTGAGAGGGTTACCCTTCCACTGGCTGTTGGGGTCGGTGGCGAAGGTGTAGTAGATGGGACCCACGATCTCGTTCATGCCCTGCACGTACGCGATGCCCGGGTTCAGTTTGGCGTAGATGAAGAGGATCCGCTCCACCACTTCCCAGTGCGCCTCGCATCCGTTGGGAAGCACCTCGTACTCGTTGGAGGGATACAGGTTTAAGGCCTTCCCTGGAGAACTGACCTGGAGGGAGAGCAGACGCGTCAGAACACACACACACACACACGACCGGCGACCGACCGGCACACACACACACACACTTATAACTCACTCTTACAACACGTCAACACTTATAACTCACACTCAAACTCACGTTAGTGACATTGCTGCGGTTCCGGCCCACCGTCTGGGCCTTGAGCGCGGTCTGCTTCACACACAAACACACACACACTCACGTTAGTGACGCCGCTGCGGTTCCGGCCCACTGTCTGGGACTTGAGCGTGGTCTGCTTCACACAGAAACACACACACACACTCACGTTAGTGACACCGCTGCGGTTCCGGCCCACCGTCTGGGACTTGAGCGTGGTCTGCTCCACACACACACACACACACACTCACGTTAGTGACACCGCTGCGGTTCTGGCCCACCGTCTGGGACTTGAGCGTGGTCTGCTCCACACACACACACACACACACACACACACACACACACACACAGACTCACGTTAGTGACACCGCTGCGGTTCCGGCCCACCGTCTGGGACTTGAGCGTGGTCTGCTCCACACACACACACACACACACGCGTTAGTGACACCGCTGCGGTTCCGGCCCACCGTCTGGGACTTGAGCATGGTCTGCTCCACACACACACACACACACACACACTCACGTTAGTGACACCGCTGCGGTTCCGGCCCACCGTCTGGGACTTGAGCGTGGTCTGCTCCACACGCCGCCGCAGCGTCTCGTACTCATTCTGAGGATCCAGTATCAGCTGACAAGGAAACTCTGTGGGACGCTGGAAGAACGCCATGTCTGGGTACAAGCGCCTGACACACACACACACACACACACACACACACAGGCATATTAATATTCATCACAACTCATGTGACAGCACACACACACACACACACACTCACACGCATACTCGCACAGTCACAGACACTCAGACTCCAAGACACTCACTGACACTCTCAGACACTCACTGACACTCTCAGACACTCACATATTCACAGACACTCAGACTCCAAGACACTCACTGACACTCTCAGACACTCTCAGACACTCTCAGACACTCTCAGACACTCTCAGACACTCTCAGACACTCTCAGACACTCTCAGACACTCACAGACACTCTCAGACACTCACATATTCACAGACACTCAGACTCCAAGACACTCTCAGACACTCACAGACACTCACAGACACTCTCAGACACTCACAGACACTCTCAGACACTCTCAGACACTCTCAGACACTCTCAGACACTCACAGACACTCTCAGACACTCTCAGACACTCTCAGACACTCACATATTCACAGACACTCAGACTCCAAGACACTCTCAGACACTCTCAGACACTCACAGACACTCACAGACACTCACAGACACTCACAGACACTCTCAGACACTCTCAGACACTCACAGACACTCACAGACACTCTCAGACACTCACATATTCACAGACACTCTCAGACACTCTCAGACACTCACAGACACTCACAGACACTCACAGACACTCTCAGACACTCACATATTCACAGACACTCAGACTCCAAGACACTCTCAGACACTCACAGACACTCTCAGACATTCACAGACACTCTCAGACACTCTCAGACACTCACAGACACTCACAGACACTCACAGACACTCACAGACACTCTCAGACACTCACAGACACTCACAGACACTCACAGACACTCACAGACACTCACAGACACTCACAGACACTCACAGACACTCACAGACACTCACAGACACTCTCAGACACTCTCAGACACTCACAGACACTCACAGACACTCACAGACACTCACAGACACTCACAGACACTCACAGACACTCACAGACACTCACAGACACTCACAGACACTCTCAGACACTCACAGACACTCACAGACACTCACAGACACTCACAGACACTCTCAGACACTCTCAGACACTCACAGACACTCACAGACACTCACAGACACTCACAGACACTCACAGACACTCTCAGACACTCTCAGACACTCACAGACACTCACAGACACTCTCAGACACTCACAGACACTCACAGACACTCACAGACACTCACATATTCACAGACACTCAGACTCCAAGACACTCTCAGACACTCACAGACACTCTCAGACACTCACAGACACTCACAGACACTCTCAGACACTCACAGACACTCACAGACACTCACAGACACTCACAGACACTCTCAGACACTCTCAGACACTCACAGACACTCTCAGACACTCACATATTCACAGACACTCAGACTCCAAGACACTCACTGACACTCTCAGACACTCTCAGACACTCACAGACACTCACTGACACTCTCAGACACTCACAGACACTCACAGACACTCACAGACACTCACAGACACTCACAGACACTCACAGACACTCTCAGACACTCTCAGACACTCACATATTCACAGACACTCAGACTCCAAGACACTCTCAGACACTCACAGACACTCACAGACACTCTCAGACACTCTCAGACACTCACAGACACTCACAGACACTCTCAGACACTCACTGACACTCTCAGACACTCTCAGACACTCACAGACACTCACAGACACTCACAGACACTCTCAGACACTCACATATTCACAGACACTCAGACTCCAAGACACTCTCAGACACTCACAGACACTCACAGACACTCTCAGACACTCACAGACACTCTCAGACACTCACAGACACTCACAGACACTCCAAGACACTCTCAGACACTCACAGACACTCACAGACACTCACAGACACTCTCAGACACTCTCAGACACTCTCAGACACTCACAGACACTCACAGACACTCTCAGACACTCTCAGACACTCACAGACACTCACAGACACTCACAGACACTCACAGACACTCACATATTCACAGACACTCAGACTCCAAGACACTCACTGACACTCTCAGACACTCTCAGACACTCACAGACACTCAGACACTCACAGACACTCACAGACACTCACATATTCACAGACACTCAGACTCCAAGACACTCACTGACACTCTCAGACACTCTCAGACACTCACAGACACTCACAGACACTCACAGACACTCACAGACACTCACAGACACTCTCAGACACTCTCTGACACTCACTGACACTCACAGACACTCACAGACACTCTCAGACACTCACAGACACTCACAGACACTCACAGACACTCAGACTCCAAGACACTCACTGACACTCTCAGACACTCTCAGACACTCTCAGACACTCTCAGACACTCACAGACACTCACAGACACTCACAGACACTCTCAGACACTCTCATACACTCTCATACACTCACTGACACTCACAGACACTCACTGACACTCACAGACACTCTCAGACACTCTCAGACACTCACAGACACTCACAGACACTCACAGACACTCTCAGACACTCACAGACACTCACAGACACTCACAGACACTCTCAGACACTCACTGACACTCACAGACACTCAAAGACACTCAGACACTCACAGACACTCAGACACTCTCAGACACTCACAGACACTCACAGACACTCACTGACACTCACTGACAGACACTCTCAGACACTCTGACACTCACAGACACTCACAGACACTCAGACACTCACAGACACTCTCAGACACTCTCAGACACTCAGACACTCACAGACACTCACAGACACTCTCAGACACTCACAGACACTCACAGACACTCACAGACACTCACAGACACCCACAGACACTCTCAGACACTCACAGACACTCACAGTAACTCACAGACACTCTCAGACACTCACAGACACTCACAGACACTCACAGACACTCACAGACACTCTCAGACACTCACAGACACTCACAGACACTCTCAGACACTCACAGACACTCACAGACACTCTCAGACACTCACAGACACTCAGACACTCAGACACTCACAGACACTCTCAGACACTCTCAGACACTCACAGACACTCTCAGACACTCACAGACACTCTCAGACACTCACAGACACACAGACACTCACTGACACTCACTGACACTCTCAGACACTCACTGACACTCACTGACACTCACTGACACTCACAGACACTCACAGACACTCACTGACACTCTCAGACACTCTCAGACACTCTCAGACACTCACTGACACTCAGACACACTCTCAGACACTCACTGACACTCTCACACACTCACTGACACTCTCAGACACTCTCAGACACTCACAGACACTATCAGACACTCACAGACACACAGACACACAGACACTCAGACACTCACTGACACTCACTGACACTCACTGACACTCACTGACACTCACTGACACTCTCAGACACTCTCAGACACTCACAGACACTCACTGACACTCACTGACACTCACTGACACTCACAGACACTCACAGACACTCTCAGACACTCACAGACACTCACAGACACTCACAGACACTCAGACTCCAAGACACTCACTGACACTCTCAGACACTCTCAGACACTCTCAGACACTCACAGACACTCACAGACACTCACAGACACTCTCAGACACTCTCATACACTCTCATACACTCACTGACACTCACAGACACTCACTGACACTCACAGACACTCTCAGACACTCTCAGACACTCACAGACACTCACAGACACTCACAGACACTCTCAGACACTCACAGACACTCACAGACACTCACAGACACTCTCAGACACTCACTGACACTCACAGACACTCAAAGACACTCAGACACTCACAGACACTCAGACACTCTCAGACACTCACAGACACTCACAGACACTCACTGACACTCACTGACAGACACTCTCAGACACTCTCAGACACTCACAGACACTATCAGACACTCACAGACACACAGACACACAGACACTCAGACACTCACTGACACTCACTGACACTCACTGACACTCACTGACACTCACTGACACTCTCAGACACTCTCAGACACTCACAGACACTCACTGACACTCACTGACACTCTCAGACACTCTCAGACACTCACTGACACTCACTGACACTCAGACACTCACAGACACTCTCAGACACTCACTGACACTCACAGACACTCTCAGACACTCACTGACACTCTCAGACACACTCAGACACTCACAGACACTCAGACACTCACAGACACTCTCAGACACTCACAGACACTCTCAGACACTCACAGACACTTTCAGACACTCACAGACACTCTCAGACACTCTCAGACACTCACAGACACTCTCAGACACTCACAGACACTCTCAGACACTCTCAGACACTCACAGACACTCTCAGACACACTCAGACACTCTCAGACACTCACAGACACTCACAGACACTCTCAGACACTCTCAGACACTCACAGACACTCACAGACACTCACAGACACTCACAGACACTCACAGACACTCACACTCTCAGACACTCACAGACACTCAGACACTCACAGACACTCTCAGACACTCACAGACACTCTCAGACACTCACAGACACGCACAGACACGCACAGACACTCTCAGACACTCAGACACTCACAGACACTCACAGACACTCTCAGACACTCTCAAACACTCTCAGACACTCACAGACACTCACAGACACTCAGACACTCACAGACACTCTCAGACACTCTCAGACACTCTCAGACACTCACAGACACTCACAGACACTCACAGACACTCTCAGACACTCACAGACACTCTCAGACACTCACAGACACTCACAGACACTCTCAGACACTCACAGACACTCACAGACACTCACAGACACTCACAGACACTCTCAGACACTCACAGACACTCAGACACCCACAGACACTCACAGACACTCTCAGACACTCACAGACACCCACAGACACTCACAGACACTCTCAGACACTCTCAGACACCCACAGACACTCACAGACACTCACAGACACTCACAGACACCCACAGACACTCACAGACACTCACAGACACTCAGACACTCACAGACACTCTCAGACACTCACAGACACTCAGACACCCACAGACACTCACAGACACTCTCAGACACTCACAGACACCCACAGACACTCACAGACACCCACAGACACCCACAGACACTCACAGACACTCAGACACCCTCAGACACTCTCAGACACGCACAGACACGCACAGACACTCACAGACACTCACAGACACGCTCAGACACTCACAGACACTCTCAGACACTCTCAGACACTCACAGACACGCTCAGACACTCACAGACACTCTCAGACACTCTCAGACACTCACAGACACTCTCAGACACTCACAGACACTCTCAGACACTCACAGACACTCTCAGACACTCACAGACACACAGACACTCACTGACACTCACTGACACTCTCAGACACTCACTGACACTCACTGACACTCACTGACACTCTCAGACACTCTCAGACACTCTCAGACACTCACTGACACTCACAGACACTCTCAGACACTCACTGACACTCTCACACACTCACTGACACTCTCACACACTCACTGACACTCTCAGACACTCTCAGACACTCACAGACACTATCAGACACTCACAGACACACAGACACACAGACACTCAGACACTCAGACACTCAGACACTCACTGACACTCACTGACACTCACTGACACTCACTGACACTCACTGACACTCACTGACACTCTCAGACACTCACTGACACTCACAGACACTCACAGACACTCACTGACACTCTCAGACACTCACTGACACTCTCAGACACTCACTGACACTCTCAGACACACTCAGACACTCACAGACACTCAGACACTCACAGACACTCTCAGACACTCACAGACACTCACAGACACTCACAGACACTCTCAGACACTCTCAGACACTCACAGACACTCTCAGACACTCACAGACACTCTCAGACACTCACAGACACTCTCAGACACTCACAGACACTCTCAGACACACTCAGACACTCTCAGACACTCACAGACACTCACAGACACTCTCAGACACTCTCAGACACTCTCAGACACTCTCAGACACTCTCAGACACTCACAGACACTCACAGACACTCACAGACACTCTCAGACACTCACAGACACTCAGACACTCACAGACACGCACAGACACTCACAGACACTCACAGACACTCACAGACACGCACAGACACGCACAGACACTCTCAGACACTCTCAGACACTCAGACACTCACAGACACTCACAGACACTCTCAGACACTCTCAGACACTCTCAGACACTCACAGACACTCACAGACACTCACAGACACTCTCAGACACTCTCAGACACTCACAGACACTCACAGACACTCACAGACACTCTCAGACACTCACAGACACTCACAGACACTCACAGACACTCACAGACACTCAGACACCCACAGACACTCACAGACACTCACAGACACTCACAGACACCCACAGACACTCACAGACACTCTCAGACACTCTCAGACACCCACAGACACTCACAGACACTCACAGACACTCACAGACACTCACAGACACTCACAGACACTCACAGACACTCTCAGACACTCACAGACACTCACAGACACTCACAGACACCCACAGACACTCACAGACACCCACAGACACCCACAGACACTCACAGACACTCACAGACACTCACAGACACTCACAGACACCCTCAGACACTCTCAGACACGCACAGACACGCACAGACACTCACAGACACTCACAGACACTCACAGACACGCTCAGACACTCACAGACACTCTCAGACACTCACAGACACTCACAGACACGCTCAGACACTCACAGACACTCTCAGACACTCACAGACACTCACAGACACGCTCAGACACTCACAGACACTCACAGACACTCTCAGACACACTCAGACACTCTCAGACACTCACAGACACTCACAGACACTCTCAGACACTCACAGACACTCAGACACTCAGACACTCACAGACACTCTCAGACACGCACAGACACACAGACACTCTCAGACACTCACAGACACTCACAGACACTCACAGACACTCTCAGACACTCTCAGACACTCTCAGACACTCACAGACACTCACAGACACTCACAGACACTCTCAGACACTCACAGACACTCACAGACACTCACAGACACTCACAGACACTCTCAGACACTCACTGACACGCACAGACACTCACAGACACTCACTGACACTCACAGACACTCTCAGACACTCTCAGACACTCACAGACACTCACAGACACTCTCAGACACTCACAGACACTCACAGACACTCACAGACACTCACAGACACTCTCAGACACTCACTGACACTCACAGACACTCACAGACACTCACAGACACTCACAGACACTCTCAGACACTCACTGACACTCACAGACACTCACAGACACTCACAGACACTCTCAGACACTCACTGACACGCACAGACACTCTCAGACACTCACAGACACGCACAGACACACAGACACTCTCACACACTCACAGACACTCTCAGACACTCACAGACACTCTCAGACACTCACAGACACTCAGACACTCACAGACACTCTCAGAAACTCAGACACACACAGACACTCTGACACTCACAGACACTCTCAGACACTCTCAGACACGCACAGACACTCTCAGACACTCACAGACACGCACAGACACACAGACACTCTCACACACTCACAGACACTCTCAGACACTCACAGACACTCTCAGACACTCACAGACACTCAGACACTCACAGACACTCTCAGAAACTCAGACACACACAGACACTCTGACACTCAGACACTCACAGACACTCACAGACACTCACAGACACTCTCAGACACTCACAGATACTCCAAGACAATCACACACACTCACTCACACTCACACACACACAAACAGGAAGTGATGAAGCACCTGACGTCTTTATCGATCTGCAGCAGAACCTCGTTGTCTTTGAAGTAGGTGTTCCAGCGGCTGTCGGGGTTCGGGTTCAGCGGCTGGAGACGAGAGACGAGAGCGTCACACACACCAGCAATCTCACACACACACACACTTCCTGTCCTGGAAAGCGACTCACATGATCCTCCAGCGTCACGTCCTCTCGAGACACGCCCAGGTTTGCCTTAGCGATTCCTGGCTGGATGATCATCTCTCTCAGAAACTGGGCGTACAGATCCCTGACCAATCAGAGTCGAGCTCATTAGCATAATGTGTCTGTGCTCCACATGGGACTTTAAAGGGGACATATTATGAAAATCTGACTTTCTCTGTGTGTAAGTGCTATAATCGGGTCCCCAGTGCTTCTACCAACCCAGAATATGTGAAGAGTGAAACCTGGTAATTTTGTTTTGGCGAGTCTTTCTCTGCAAGCATGTTATAAAATAAGCCGATCAGATTTCGCTCCCCTTCTGACGTATGAAGAGGATCTTATTATAATATTACCGCCCCTTAATTTGCATGTTACAGCCACGGAGACGCCATTTGGTTTCATAAGCGACAACAGTGACCAGTTCTAACGCACAAAAAACGGCACGTTTTTGCTTACACACAAAAAGGGGTCAATTTGACAAGCTATAATAAAAGATTTGATATTTTGAGCTGAACTTTCACAGACACATTCTGGGGACACCATAGATTTATATTACATCTTGTGAAAAGGGGCATAATATATCACCTGTAAAGCCTAAACAAGCACAACAACAGCAAACTCAGTGTGTAAAACCATATTCTGGGGTCAAATGTGTGCTGAACCTGACGAAACCTCCCTAAACCTGCTGTCTGGAGACGTCCTCATCTGTAAAAACAGTGTAAAATGCAGTGAGTGTGTGTGTGTGTAACCTCTGCTTCTGCAGGAAAGAGTCCCATACGGCCTGATCCGACGGCAGGTAGTTCAGCAGGATCTGAGGAACGAGGGAGGAAATCTCTATCATTCATTGATTCAGTCACATGATGAGTGAAACTCGAGGAGACGCCAGACTGACCTTCCAGCATAGAGAGCGAATGCCTCCTTCACACGGGATCCCTGAGAGAGAGAGAGAGAGAGAGAGCGTAAGCGTGTGGAGAAACACACCCCGACTCACCACACACACACACACACACACACACACACGTACCGCTGAAGCACAGCTGGCGTAACGCCTTCATGTCCAGCTTCTGCTCGCTCAAAGAAACCTTGAACTCCTGGATCCTGAGGAACAGCAGAGACACGTCACATGACCTGATCACATGATCACTCACAGAAGAAAAACATTCATTCAAGTCAGCTTTATTTATATAGCGCTTTTTACAATACTGATAGTTTCAAAGCAGCTTTACAGAGATAACAGGAAAACAATGCAACAAAGTTTGTTTCTAGAAGAGAATAGCGTCACAGTCCAGCTTAAGTCAGTTCAGTGATGCTTCATTTCTGCTGTAAAAAAGTTATTAATTTAGTTAATTTATATATATAGCAGCTCTGGAGAAAACCGTGATGTCATCGTCCAGCTCAGTTCAGTTCTCATATAATGCTGTCAATGCAGGAGATCAATAATATTGCTGAATATTACATGTCCCCAAATAAGCAAGACAAAAGCCAAAGGCAACAGGAACCAAAACTCCATCAGTGACAGAATGGAGGAAAACCCTCGAGAGAAACCAGACTCAGCCTCAGTTCTCCTCTGGACAACGAACCAACAGTGGATGATTATGATCCCATCTGATCTGGATACGGCCCGGATCCGGCTGACTACATCATGTGTTGTGGTCGTGTCTAGGCACAGGTCCATCATCTGATCTGGATACGGCCCGGATCCGGCTGACTACATCATGTGTTGTGGTCGTGTCTAGGCGCAGGTCCTCCATCTGATCTGGATACGGCCCGGATCCGGCTGACTACATCATGTGTTGTGGTCGTGTCTAGGCGCAGGTCCTCCATCTGATCTGGATACGGCCCGGATCCGGCTGACTACATCATGTGTTGTGGTCGTGTCTAGGCGCAGGTCCTCCATCTGATCTGGATACGGCCCGGATCCGGCTGACTACATCATGTGTTGTGGTCGTGTCTAGGCGCAGGTCCTCCATCTGATCTGGATACGGCCCGGATCCGGCTGACTACATCATGTGTTGTGGTTGTGTCTAGGCGCAGGTCCTCCATCTGATCTGGATACGGCCCGGATCCGGCTGACTACATCATGCGTTGTGGTCGTGTCTAGGCGCAGGTCCACCAACTGATCTGGATACGGCCCGGATCTGGCTGACTACATCATGTGTTGTGGGCGTGTCTAGGCACAGGTCCTCCATCTGATCTGGATACGGCCCGGATCCGGCTGACTACATCATGTGTTGTGGTCGTGTCTAGGCGCAGGTCCTCCATCTGATCTGGATACGGCCCGGATCCGGCTGACTACATCATGCGTTGTGGTCGTGTCTAGGCGCAGGTCCACCATCTGATCTGGATACGGCCCGGATCTGGCTGACTACATCATGTGTTGTGGGCGTGTCAATGCCCAGGTCCACCATCTGATCTGGATACGGCCCGGATCCGGCTGACTACATCATGTGTTGTGGTCGTGTCTAGGCGCAGGTCCTCCATCTGATCTGGATACGGCCCGGATCCGGCTGACTACATCATGTGTTGTGGTCGTGTCAATGCCCAGGTCCACCATCTGATCTGGATACGGCCCGGATCCGGCTGACTACATCATGTGTTGTGGTCGTGTCAATGCCCAGGTCCACCATCTGATCTAGATACGGCCCGGATCCGGCTGACTACATCATGTGTTGTGGTCGTGTCTAGGCGCAGGTCCTCCATCTGATCTGGATACGGCCCGGATCCGGCTGACTACATCATGTGTTGTGGGCGTGTCTAGGCACAGGTCCTCCATCTGATCTGGATACGGCCCGGATCCGGCTGACTACATCATGTGTTGTGGTCGTGTCTAGGCACAGGTCCTCCATCTGATCTGGATACGGCCCGGATCCGGCTGACTACATCATGTGTTGTGGTCGTGTCTAGGCGCAGGTCCACCATCTGATCTGGATACGGCCCGGATCTGGCTGACTACATCATGTGTTGTGGGCGTGTCAATGCCCAGGTCCACCATCTGATCTGGATACGGCCCGGATCTGGCTGACTACATCATGTGTTGTGGGCGTGTCAATGGCCAGGTCCACCATCTGATCTGGATACGGCCCGGATCTGGCTGACTACATCATGTGTTGTGGTCGTGTCAATGCCCAGGTCCACCATCTGATCTGGATACGGCCCGGATCCGGCTGACTACATCATGTGTTGTGGTCGTGTCAATGCCCAGGTCCACCATCTGATCTAGATACGGCCCGGATCCGGCTGACTACATCATGTGTTGTGGTCGTGTCTAGGCGCAGGTCCTCCATCTGATCTGGATACGGCCCGGATCTGGCTGACTACATCATGTGTTGTGGGCGTGTCTAGGCACAGGTCCTCCATCTGATCTGGATACGGCCCGGATCCGGCTGACTACATCATGTGTTGTGGTCGTGTCTAGGCGCAGGTCCTCCATCTGATCTGGATACGGCCCGGATCCGGCTGACTACATCATGCGTTGTGGTCGTGTCTAGGCGCAGGTCCACCATCTGATCTGGATACGGCCCGGATCCGGCTGACTACATCATGCGTTGTGGTCGTGTCTAGGCGCAGGTCCACCATCTGATCTGGATACGGCCCGGATCCGGCTGACTACATCATGTGTTGTGGTCGTGTCTAGGCGCAGGTCCACCATCTGATCTGGATACTGCCTGGATCCGGCTGACTACATCATGTGTTGTGGGCGTGTCTAGGCGCAGGTCCTCCATCTGATCTGGATACGGCCCGGATCCGGCTGACTACATCATGTGTTGTGGTCGTGTCTAGGCGCAGGTCCTCCATCTGATCTGGATACGGCCTGGATCCGGCTGACTACATCATGTGTTGTGGTCGTGTCTAGGCGCAGGTCCTCCATCTGATCTGGATACAGGCCGGATCCGGCTGACTACATCATGTGTTGTGGTCATGTCTAGGCCCAGGTCCTCCATCTGATCTAGATACGGCCCGGATCCGGCTGACTACATCATGTGTTGTGGTCATGTCTAGGCCCAGGTCCTCCATCTGATCTAGATACGGCCCGGATCCGGCTGACTACATCATGTGTTGTGGTCGTGTCTAGGCGCAGGTCCACCATCTGATCTGGATACGGCCCGGATCCGGCTGACTACATCATGCGTTTGTAGTCAGCCGAATCTACATCTTTTTATTAAAATTAATATTGGAAACAAATATGAATTAATTTGACTTGATGATATTGAAAATTAATATTAATATCAATCAGATAACTTAAGTAACAGGTAAAATATTAATATTTTCTGTTAATATTAATATTGAACAATGAACATTAATCTGAATCTGAATCAACAAATATAGAAGTAAAAGTAACATGCTTAAACATAATTTTTTTATGAATATTGAAAATGATTATTCATATTAATTAATTTGATTTAATAATATTTAACAATCTCAATCAGATAATTTGTAAGTAACAGGTGAAATATTAATAAATTTTTGTTAATATTGAACATTATTATTAATATTAACTAATTGGATTTATTAATATTGAACAATAATTAATTTGAATTAAAAAAATGGAAAGGTAACAAGTTTAATAACATTTATAAAACATGACTATTGTTATGAGGAACAGAAAGGTTTCGGATCCGTGAAATAAACTCATTCATGAACATTATGACACAGATCTTTGTCAAAACACTCGATCATCTTTGTATTAACATCTGGAGGAAAGAGCATCTGCTGCATCACATGATCAAACCGCCCAATCAGAAGTCAGTATGCACTCTTAAAGGGACAGTCCAGACAGAAATCATCATTCTGGCGTCATTTACTCGCCCTACTCACAGACTTTCTCAAAACACTTTTTGTGTTTTGCAGAAGAAAACAGTTTTCCTCAGGAACAGCTGAAGATCTAGGCCAATCTAGGGAGTCATTTGGTCCTTTAATTCACAGAACTTCAGAGTGATTCACTGATCACTGGCTGACTCCGACTGAACTTTCAGCTCGAGTGAATCCTGTCGCTCATTTACCAGCGTTTCAGACTCAAACCCAGCGGAGGAATCAACCCAGTGGAGGAATCAACCCAGTGGAGGAATCAACCCAGTGGAGGAATCAACCCAGCGGAGGAATCAACCCAGTGGAGGAATCAACCCAGTGGAGGAATCAACCCAGTGGAGGAATCAACCCAGTGGAGGAATCAACCCAGTGGAGGAATCAACCCAGCGGAGGAATCAACCCAGTGGAGGAATCAACCCAGTGGAGGAATCAACCCAGTGGAGGAATCAACCCAGCGGAGGAATCAACCCAGCGGAGGAATCAACCCAGCGGAGGAATCAACCCAGTGGAGGAATCAACCCAGTGGAGGAATCAACCCAGTGGAGGAATCAACCCAGTGGAGGAATCAACCCAGCGGAGGAATCAACCCAGTGGAGGAATCAACCCAGTGGAGGAGGAATCAACCCAGCGGAGGAATCAACCCAGTGGAGGAATCAACCCAGTGGAGGAATCAACCCAGCGGAGGAATCAACCCAGCGGAGGAATCAACCCAGTGGAGGAATCAACCCAGTGGAGGAATCAACCCAGTGGAGGAATCAACCCAGCGGAGGAATCAACCCAGTGGAGGAATCAACCCAGTGGAGGAATCAACCCAGCGGAGGAATCAACCCAGCGGAGGAATCAACCCAGCGGAGGAATCAACCCAGCGGAGGAATCAACCCAGTGGAGGAATCAACCCAGCGGAGGAATCAACCCAGTGGAGGAATCAACCCAGCGGAGGAATCAACCCAGTGGAGGAATCAACCCAGTGGAGGAATCAACCCAGTGGAGGAATCAACCCAGCGGAGGAATCAACCCAGTGGAGGAATCAACCCAGTGGAGGAATCAACCCAGCGGAGGAATCAACCCAGCGGAGGAATCAACCCAGTGGAGGAATCAACCCAGTGGAGGAATCAACCCAGCGGAGGAATCAACCCAGTGGAGGAATCAACCCAGCGGAGGAATCAACCCAGCGGAGGAATCAACCCAGCGGAGGAATCAACCCAGTGGAGGAATCAACCCAGCGGAGGAATCAACCCAGTGGAGGAATCAAGCGAAGACAGACTCTCAGTCAAACGCTGATATCACCAAAATATGAATATTAGAGCTGAGCATCACATGATCTGATTACGATTCACAAGCTTGCGACTCAATTCAATTCGGATCTCGATTCATTTGTGTATTTATCAGAACTGAAGCATCACTGTAATATCACGGGTCACATTAACAACTGATGCGTGTACAAACATTTAAATTGCAGTTTTATTAATAACTTTTTAATGACATAATTATGTTTCTACTCCAATTCATTTTTAAAACATTTAAAAGGGGGCGGTCATTAAAAACTAGTTTTCATGATAGATTTATTCAAAACATTAAATATTGAAGAACAGGTTGAGTAAGAATATGATGATTATGTAATATAGTGCGTATGTGTATCATAACGCTCCTCTCCGGAGGTTATGCTCACTGAAAGGCTTTTCTGAGGTAAACGTGACATTATTATTACAATTCTTGAGATTTAAAAATCAACATGAGAAAGAGAATTAATCAAAAGCGAGATATCATTACTTTACTTACTAATCTGGGTGAGTTTAAACTCACAAAAACATGTTATTGAAGAATTAATAACACTAACATTAATGATTTCTGCTTTCAAACTGTTTATCTTGTGAAAAGGGCTTTAAAACTAAAACTGGACAGACTTTATACAACGACACACACACATACATACACACTCTCTCACTCTCACTCACACACACTCATTCTCTCTCTCTCTCACACACACACTCATTCTCTCTCTCTCTCTCTCTCTCTCTCTCACACACACACTCTCTCACAAACACCTACATATACACACTCTCACTCACTTACACACACTCATTCTCTCTCTCTCTCACACACACACTCATTCTCTCTCTCTCTCACACACACACTCATTCTCTCTCTCTCTCTCTCTCACACACACACTCTCTCACAAACACATACATACACACTCTCACTCACTTACACACACACTCATTCTCTCTCTCTCTCTCTCTCTCTCTCTCTCTCTCTCTCTCACTCACTCACTCACTCTCACTCTCACTCTCACTCTCTCTCTCTCTCTCTCTCTCTCTCTCTCTCTCTCTCACTCACTCTCACTCTCACTCACTCTCTCTCTCTCTCTCTCTCTCTCTCTCTCTCTCTCTCTCTCTCTCTCTCTCTCTCTCTCTCTCTCTCTCTCTCTCTCTCACACACACACACACACACACACACACACAGACTTCAGCGGTGTCATCACGCTTGCCCCGCGCGTCTGAAATAAACGCGGTGTGTCGCGCGTGTCGATGAAGTAAAGTGTGTGTGTGTGAGTGAGAAGGCGCGTTTAATGTCGTGTTTGTTGTGTTTCTCACCTGTTTCTGTAGGAGCTCGACATGTTGGACTGGTTCAGTCACGCGCTCCAGGAAAACAGTCCCCCGGAAACACGGGCCGCGCGCGTTAGTTCCGTTACAACACAAACATTACAACACAAAACATGCGTTCCATAAAAATATCACATCATAAATCAGCGTCACATTTCACGATCGTGAGCCGGGACACGAAACACTCTAACTACCGTTGATGACTGAGATGCTTCTTTCCTGGAATTTAATCTATAAAAACAATTTTTCTCCAAACAAGTGTTTTATCTGGAAAAAATACATTCTGTATAAATCTAAATCTTTATTTTTTTTTTATGAATTGTTTTGTAATGATATAGTTTTTGTTAGCCAACTGTATAACCATGAAGGACTTATTGACCGATTCTGAATTTCCTTCTAAATATAATATTCCAGTTACTGTCCAGATGTTGCTGTGGTTATGATGCTGTTCCTCTGGTCTAACAGTGCTCTAACACCTGTGCTCTGCTATCTCCAGCCGGAGTACGCCATAGGCTGTATCTGTCTTTCTCTGACTATATTAAAAATAATAATCGTTACGGGCTTTGTTTCAAAGGGATATTGTCTCCAGACCTGCTGTTATATCATTCTGGAACGGTTGTGCTGATAATCTGTGTGGAATCAAATCTGGAAACTTCCTCATAAATATTTAATCACAAACAAAATCAAAGAAATTTACATAAAACTCATTTATAAATATTACCCATGGTCATATTCCTGCTCCTTTATTAAAGCTCATATCAGGCCTTTCAACAGTGCTTTAAAATGTGTTATTTGTTTTTTATTTTATGACAAATCTTATCATAAGGAATATTACTTAATTAATCTGCTTCTTCTGTTAGCTAAATTTAGTATTCATAAATGTAAATTTGGAGGAAACAAGCCTTTGTTCAGCAAGCCAGAAATTCAACAATACCTAAAAACAATATTGGGTTTGAAAAATAAGAAAGCTGCAAAAAAACATGTTCACATTTCTGTTTAACTTTTAAGTTTGTCACTGCTTTGTTTGTCTTTTTATGTTTGTTTATTTGGTGTACGCACTGTACTAAATTTATTTATTTCAATACTGACTGTAATTTTAATTCTTAAAAAAAAACTATTGATGATTGACGGCATTGTTTTTTAAATGATAGTTTATTAATTATTAGTGTGACCATTTTTATTTATGAATGAAAAATGCATACTGTTGTATAGATTATCACACACACACATTACAATAACGTTTTTAATAATAAAAATATATTTTTATTATAAAAATAATTTTATAATATTATAATTATAATATGCTTTAATAATATATATATTTTTTTTAAACAAGGGAGAATGTAGCCTAGATAAAGTAGATAAAAAGAGATTAAATCAGCCCTGAATTTGATTTATATCAATAAAAATATAAACGGGCATGTGTTTCATGTCGGAATATCCAGAGATGGAGTTATTTATTATCATAACAGGAGAGAGTTTAGACTGGACTTTTTATTAATAAACATTTATTTATATATATATTAACATTTTGAAAGTAACAACAATTAACATTCATTAAATTAACATAAATCCTACTGACATTTGAACTTAACAATGAGTAGAACAATTAACTCTATATGAGGGACATAGAGTATTGACATTTAAACAGAAAATACATACAATTATTAAATAAATAAGCAAATAAAATAACTAAAAAGAAAGGCAAAGAAATAAATGACATTACTTTCGTTTAGTAGGGGGATAGAACGATCTCATTTAAACATGTTAACTCTGTTCACAGGTGACTTTATAATCTTATTTAATATCTGGGATGATTCTGGACTTCATTAACCCAGTTCTCATCAGCTCCCCGATCGATCACCCCGAACCGGAAGTGATCGCGTCACGTGCACATGTGACCCGGATGTGGCGCAGGTTGTGTTGACATCAGAGCGGCTGAGATCATCATTAGATCATGTTTATATTTCTGCGTTTCTTGTGAATCGAAGCGGCGCGTCAGTCGGTGTACCGGCGTCAGGTAAGAGACACACGCACGCGCCGCGCGCGACACACGCTGTCAATCAGTGAGTGACGATATTAAACACTCGCGCTTTATGATCTGCTAACGGCTAGCCCGCGCGCTAACACTCTTCGCCAGATCAACACGGACACAAACATCGACAGTCCAGCGGCAGCGTCGCTGTTAAACCTGAAGGAGCCTCAGTATAAACTCCTCGCTGAGGGAGACCGAGCATAACCTCCGCGATATGAGGAGACCGATCATAACCTCCGCGGTATGAGGAGACCGAGCATAACCTCCGCGGTATGAGGAGACCGAGCACAACCTCCGCGGTATGAGGAGACCGAGCATAACCTCCGCGGTATGAGGAGACCGAGCACAACCTCCGCGGTATGAGGAGACCGAGCATAACCTCCGCGGTATGAGGAGACCGAGCATAACCTCCGCGGTATGAGGAGACCGAGCACAACCTCCGCGGTATGAGGAGACCGAGCATAACCTCCGCGGTATGAGGAGACCGAGCACAACCTCCGCGGTATGAGGAGACCGAGCATAACCTCCGCGGTATGAGGAGACCGAGCATAACCTCCGCGGTATGAGGAGACCGAGCATAACCTCCGCGGTATGAGGAGACCGAGCATAACCTCCGCGGTATGAGGAGACCGAGCATAACCTCCGCGGTATGAGGAGACCGAGCATAACCTCCGCGGTATGAGGAGACCGAGCATAACCTCCGCGGTATGGGGAGACCGAGCATAACCTCCGCGGTATGAGGAGACCGAGCATAACCTCCGCGGTATGAGGAGACCGAGCATAACCTCCGCGGTATGAGGAGACCGAGCATAACCTCCGCGGTATGAGGAGACCGAGCATAACCTCCGCGGTATGAGGAGACCGAGCATAACCTCCGCGGTATGAGGAAGAGCTGGTGTTATCAGGAGTATTCCTGTGCGGGTGCGAGCCGCAACTGTAGCGACACACACAACACTGGGATATAATAGAGGAATTGTGATTAGAACTGATGATGAAGATGATGTGTGTGTGTGTGTGTGTGTCAATGCCACAATGTTCATCAGTTATGAAACTAATTCAATACAGTTCAATGTTGATTCAATTCGATTCAATTCAGTTCAATGTCAATGCTGCAAAACGAATCAGTAATGAAACTAATTCAGTTCAATGTTGATTAAATTCAGTTGGATAATGATGTGTGTGTGTGTGTGTCAATGTTACAATATTCATCAGTTATGAAACTAATTCAATTCGTTTCAATAAGTGTCAATGCTGCAAAACGAATTATGAAAATAATTCAATTCATTTTTAATAAGTGTCAATGCTGTATCATGCAGTTCAAAGTTGATTAAATTCAGTTGGATTGTGTGTGTGTGTGTGTCAATGTCACAATATTCGTCAGTTATGAAATTAATCCAATTCAGTTTGATGTTGATTCAATTCGTTTCAATAACAGTGTCAATGCTGCAAAACGAATCAATCATGACCCTGCTTCGGCTGTTGAGCTGCAGGGCTGATCTCCAGTCAGTGGAGAACATTAGTTGTGATGGTGTGAGTGCGGTCGGGTCATTGATGTCGGTGTGTTGTAAAGCGGAGTGTGTTCTGCTCGCTCAGGTGGAGTGTGTTCTGGTCCTGCTCCATGTGCGGCGCTGAGACCCGGGCCGCAGTCCTGCAGTTCTGAGCGAGCGTCGTCATGGCGACGGCGGCGGGCGACGACCCGGAGAGCCTGATGACCCTGGTCACCGTGTTCTGCCTGAAGAACCTGCGCAGAACCCTGTGCTACAGCGAGCAGAACCGACTGCGGCTGCGGCCCGACGTGTTCCTGCCCAGCGAGATCTGCGACCGGCTGCTGCACGCGTGAGTGTGTGTGTCTGAGTCTGCGAGTGTGTGTGTGTGTGTGAGAGTGAGAGAGTTTGTGTGTCTGTGTGTGTGTGGGTGTCTGAGTGTGTGTGAGTGAGAGAGTTCGTGAGTGTGTGTCTGAGTGTGTGTCTGAGTGTGTGTCTGAGTGTGTGTCTGAGTGTGTGTCTGAGTGTGTGTCTGAGTGTGTGTCTGAGTGTGTGTCTGAGTGTGTGTCTGAGTGTGTGTCTGTGTGTGTGAGTGAGTGAGAGAGTTTGTGTGTGTGTGTCTGAGTGAGTGTGTGTGTGTGTGTGTGAGTGAGAGAGTTTGTGTGTGTGTGAGTGTGTGTGTGTGTGTGTGTGTGTGTGTGTGTGAGTGAGAGAGTTTGTGTGTGTGTCTGAGTGAGTGTGTGTGTGTGTGTGAGTGAGAGAGTTTGTGTGTGTGTGAGTGTGTGTGTGTGTGTGTGTGTGTGTGAGTGAGAGAGTTCGTGAGTGTGAGTGTGTGAGTGAGAGAGTTTGTGTGTGTGTGTGTGTGAGTGAGAGAGTTTGTGTGTGTGGGTGTCTGAGTGTGTGTGAGTGAGAGAGTTCGTGAGTGTGTGTGTGTGAGTGAGACAGTTCGTGAGTGTGTGTGTGTGTGTGTGAGTGAGAGAGTTCGTGAGTGTGTAGCTGTGTGTGTGTCTGTGTGTGTGAGTGAGAGAGTTCGTGAGTGTGTGTGTGTGAGTGAGAGAGTTTGTGTGTGTGGGTGTCTGAGTGTGTGTGAGTGAGAGAGTTCGTGAGTGTGTGTGTGTGTGTGTGAGTGAGACAGTTCGTGAGTGTGTGTGTGTGTGTGTGAGTGAGAGAGTTCGTGAGTGTGTGTGTGTGAGTGAGAGAGTTCGTGAGTGTGTTTGTGTGTGAGTGAGAGAGTTCGTGAGTGTGTGTGTGTGTGTGTGTGTGTGTGTGTGTGGGTGTCTTGAGTGTGTGTGAGTGAGATAGTTCGTGAGTGTGTGTGTGTGTGTGAGTGAGAGAGTTCGTGAGTGTGTGTGTGTGTGTGTGTGAGTGAGAGAGTTCGTGAGTGTGTGTGTGTGTGAGTGAGAGAGTTCGTGAGTGTGTTTGTGTGTGTGTGTGTGTGTGTGTTTGTGTGTGTGTGTGTGTGTGTGTGTGTGTGTGTGTGTGGGTGTCTTGAGTGTGTGTGAGTGAGAGAGTTCGTGAGTGTGTGTGTGTGTGAGTGAGAGAGTTCGTGAGTGTGTGTGTGTGAGTGAGTGAGAGAGTTCGTGAGTGTGTTTGTGTGTGTGTGTGTGTGTGTGTGAGTGAGAGAGTTCGTGAGTGTGTGTGAGTGAGGTGTTCTGAGGCTGACGCTGATGCTTTGATTGACAGCTACATGGATCTGGTGCACACAGACAGTGAGTTCGAGCCGCAGGACGGGTTCTTCCAGCTCTTCAGTGACCCGCGCAGCACCAGAATCACACGCCTGCACCTGCGGGACGACTTCATCCGGGACCGGGACCTGGAGGCCCTCGCCAAACAGGTGAGGAACCAGCCGTGGGCGGGGCACTCGTATGTGGAGGCGGGGCTGAGCCTGAACAGGGGCGGAGTTTAAGAAGCCAGTTATGACGTTCTAATGAAACATTACGAGGTCAAAACAGAAGCATGCATGAATAAATCATTCACAATACATTGCATTTAGACCATAGATAGTGTCGGGAACAGGTGAGAAGCCCAGGCTGTCCTTTATAGAACTGTGTCCTCACCAACAGCGGTGTCAGCCATGCAAGGCGCCATCCAGCTCGTCGGGAGCAGCTGGGGTTAGGTGTCTCATACACACACACACACACAGCTGGGGTTAGGTGTCTCTCACACACACACACACAGCTGGGGTTAGGTGCAATGTCCCCTCTAAGCTGCGCGCGTGCGCTGATGCCTCGGCCGCGCACTTCTGAAGCGGCGGCCGCGCAGAAAAGAATAAAATGCCACGCAGAGGACTGACGCGAAACGTGTGGGGAAATCCTTTGATTGTAGTTTAAGTGAGAAATAATTTCAGTGCTCTGGTCAACCGCTATAGAGTGAAAGGCATGGTTAGATTACTATAAAAGAGTTCACATATTCACTTTTCTTGAAAATATGTAGCTATTAGATCTATTTAAATGCTTCAGTTTGTTTTCATATTATAATAATATAATATGTAAACAAATTGAAGCATTTAAACTGATATATTATATCACTTCAAATACTTCAATTTTATATTATATTATATTAGGCCTATATTTTATTATATTATAAGCCTAAATAAAGAATCTCACAAGGGTATTGTTTAGGGCTCCTTGCCATTAAAAAGTTTGAAACCCCCTGCTAAAGAAAATATTGGAAATTCATAAGCAATAAACAATCATTTAACTTTGATGGTTTAATGCTTCCTGTACACAATGAATTGACTGTACAAAAACACTTTATGGTTTTCCCAAACCATCTCAGCTTACTTTTCTTTCATACTATATTCTATTATTGTAAAGAATTGAACTGTCCTGCAGAAGATTTTGTAAATTATTTTTCATAGGATTTCTTGGTAAAGACAGTACAGTTAACAGCACTGTAAAACAAATATCAGGCAACCTAAAATGTGCTTCATTTAGTGACTTATTAATTAACTGCTTGTTTTTCGAAAATATGATTTAATACCAATAAGTTACATCAAGGGTCAAATAAAATAGAAATGGCACATTCAAGTTAAGAGTTACAACTGAATGTTGAAACCATTGTGTTTCTGCGTATGCTGTACAGGTCAGGTATAAAGAATACTTTTGCTCAGGTGGCGAAAAATGTCCGGCCAATAGAAAAAAGTTTTGCTCAGCAAGAAAAAAAATTAGAGGTTAGGTTAGGTGTCTTGCTCATGGACACCTCGACACTTGGTCAGGTGGAACCAGGGATTGAACCACCAACCTTCTGGTTTGTAGACAATCTACATGAACCACTGAGCCACTGCCGCCCCACGAGACGAGACGCCGTTCAAACTAACCCTTCAGCTGCTGTTATTCTGGATTAAACAACAATAGGATACAGAAGGAAGTTCAACACTCTTATTTCTGAATCTAATCTAAAGTAATTTTTTAACTGAATGTTTTCGTGCAAGGGAGATGCATGTTCACATTTAGTCTAGAACTACAATAACCATTATGTTCACAGACACACACACACACACAGACACAACACCTCCTCACTTTATTCCTCTCAACATCGGGACAGGAGAGCTGTCAGTCAATAAATGTGAAAAAGTAACTTGGATATTTTGTTGTAAATTGAAAAAGTATTCTGATTATGTGACTCAAGTTACTTGTAATGAGTTACACACAACACTGGTTATGACATTCAAAGGTCGAAACGGCTTATAAAATGAGGCATGCATGCATAAATATTTCACAATAAAGTGCATTTAGACAATAGATAGTGTGAATTCTGACTTTAAATGCTTTTCTCAAGTGCGTCACAATACTTTCACTCTCAGCCTTTGTTCTTTCATAGGGTTGTGTAATAAGACCGGTCCGGTGATCATCTCACGCTTTAACTTTCAGCTTTTCCTGCAGAGTGTTAATGATGCTGAACACGTTTCAGTTCAGAGCAGCTGAAAACATAATCCATGCGCCTCTAGAAAATAATACACATTTACTTTGAAAGAGCTTAGAATAGTGATTTTTCCAAACAAACTGCGTTCTCAAGTGCCTTAAAATATCTTGCATGTTACTCGACACCCTTGCCTCATTTAGTATGCGCGGTTTTATGAATATGCAAATGAGCCCCGCCTCCACTCACTCTCTCAGCTCACAGATCCACTCGCTGACGATCACACGTTGATCTGATTGCAGTATTAATTTCGTTAACATTTTTTTAGGCATTATTTTTGTCAACGACATTTTTTCCCAGACGAAAATGAGAAGATTATGAAAGAAATTCAATTAAACAAATTCAATTCAGTTCAATTATTAAAGGCCCCCTGAAATCAAAATGTATGTTTTTTGTAGCTCTTATCATGAATATGTTAGGGTTAAGGTTATGAATAAGCCGGTGTGTTCCAAACCAATGACAAAATTCGCATTTAGGAGATATAAGCATTCAAAACTTAGTCTCTCACTTCCGGGTCACGGATCATGACGTCACCGCGTACTTCAGCTTCTCATCACATCTTCTGTCCAATCAAATGCTCTCTAGAGTGTAAAGCTCCGCCCCCTATGCTATAAACACCACCTGACCGAAGCGAGCGACTAGAATTTATTCGCACCTCTACTATTGAACCCAGCGTATCACCAGCGCTCGGATTCGCTTCCATGGTGCTGTCAGTCTGTGAGGGAAACAAACGCTATTGGCTATTTGAAAAGAGGGAGGAGCCATTCAATATATCTCGCCTGAGCTTCCTGTTTCAGTGGAAATGACGTCAGCGCATCACGCTGATGTGTGTGTCTGACACTGCCGCCGCTGATGTGTGTGTCTGACACTGCTGCTGATGTGTGTGTATGACACTGCCGCTGATGTGTGTGTGTGTCTGACACTGCCGCCGCTGATGTGTGTGTCTGACACTGCCGCCGCTGATGTGTGTGTCTGACACTGCCGCTGATGTGTGTGTGTGTCTGACACTGCCGCCGCTGATGTGTGTGTCTGACACTGCCGCCGCTGATGTGTGTGTCTGACACTGCCGCTGATGTGTGTGTCTGACACTGCCGCCGCTGATGTGTGTGTATGACACTGCCGCTGATGTGTGTGTATGACACTGCCGCCGCTGATGTGTGTGTATGACACTGCCGCTGATGTGTGTGTGTGTCTGACACTGCCGCCGCTGATGTGTGTGTCTGACACTGCCGCTGATGTGTGTGTCTGACACTGCCGCCGCTGATGTGTGTGTCTGACACTGCCGCCGCTGATGTGTGTGTCTGACACTGCCGCCGCTGATGTGTGTGTCTGACACTGCCGCTGATGTGTGTGTCTGACACTGCCGCCGATGTGTGTGTCTGACACTGCCGCTGATGTGTGTGTCTGACACTGCCGCTGATGTGTGTGTCTGACACTGCCACTGATGTGTGTGTCTGACACTGCCGCTGATGTGTGTGTGTGTCTGACACTGCCGCTGATGTGTGTGTGTGTCTGACACTGCCGCTGATGTGTGTGTGTGTCTGACACTGCCGCCGCTGATGTGTGTGTGTGTCTGACACTGCCGCCGCTGATGTGTGTGTCTGACACTGCCGCCGCTGATGTGTGTGTCTGACACTGCCGCTGATGTGTGTGTGTGTCTGACACTGCCGCTGATGTGTGTGTCTGACACTGCCGCTGATGTGTGTGTCTGACACTGCCGCTGATGTGTGTGTCTGACACTGCCGCTGATGTGTGTGTGTGTCTGACACTGCCGCTGATGTGTGTGTGTGTCTGACACTGCCGCTGATGTGTGTGTGTGTCTGACACTGCCGCTGATGTGTGTGTCTGACACTGCCACTGATGTGTGTGTCTGACACTGCCGCTGATGTGTGTGTGTGTCTGACACTGCCGCTGATGTGTGTGTGTGTCTGACACTGCCGCTGATGTGTGTGTGTGTCTGACACTGCCGCCGCTGATGTGTGTGTGTGTCTGACACTGCCGCCGCTGATGTGTGTGTGTGTCTGACACTGCCGCCGCTGATGTGTGTGTCTGACACTGCCGCCGCTGATGTGTGTGTCTGACACTGCCGCCGCTGATGTGTGTGTCTGACACTGCCGCCGCTGATGTGTGTGTCTGACACTGCCGCCGCTGATGTGTGTGTCTGACACTGCCGCCGCTGATGTGTGTGTCTGACACTGCCGCCGCTGATGTGTGTGTCTGACACTGCCGCCGCTGATGTGTGTGTCTGACACTGCCGCCGCTGATGTGTGTGTCTGACACTGCCGCCGCTGATGTGTGTGTCTGACACTGCCGCCGCTGATGTGTGTGTCTGACACTGCCGCCGCTGATGTGTGTGTCTGACACTGCCGCCGCTGATGTGTGTGTCTGACACTGCCGCCGCTGATGTGTGTGTGTGTCTGACACTGCCGCCGCTGATGTGTGTGTCTGACACTGCCGCTGATGTGTGTGTCTGACACTGCCGCCGCTGATGTGTGTGTCTGACACTGCCGCCGCTGATGTGTGTGTCTGACACTGCCCCCGCTGATGTGTGTGTCTGACACTGCCGCCGCTGATGTGTGTGTCTGACACTGCCGCCGCTGATGTGTGTGTCTGACACTGCCGCTGATGTGTGTGTCTGACACTGCCGCTGATGTGTGTGTCTGACACTGCCGCCGCTGATGTGTGTGTCTGACACTGCCGCTGATGTGTGTGTCTGACACTGCCGCCGCTGATGTGTGTGTCTGACACTGCCGCCGCTGATGTGTGTGTCTGACACTGCCGCCGCTGATGTGTGTGTCTGACACTGCCGCCGCTGATGTGTGTGTCTGACACTGCCGCCGCTGATGTGTGTGTCTGACACTGCCGCTGATGTGTGTGTCTGACACTGCCGCCGCTGATGTGTGTGTCTGACACTGCCGCCGCTGATGTGTGTGTCTGACACTGCCGCCGCTGATGTGTGTGTCTGACACTGCCGCCGCTGATGTGTGTGTCTGACACTGCCGCCGCTGATGTGTGTGTCTGACACTGCCGCCGCTGATGTGTGTGTCTGACACTGCCGCCGCTGATGTGTGTGTGTGTCTGACACTGCCGCCGCTGATGTGTGTCTGACACTGCCGCCGCTGATGTGTGTGTCTGACACTGCCGCCGCTGATGTGTGTGTCTGACACTGCCGCTGATGTGTGTGTCTGACAATGCCGCCGCTGATGTGTGTGTCTGACACTGCCGCCGCTGATGTGTGTGTCTGACACTGCCGCTGATGTGTGTGTCTGACACTGCCGCTGATGTGTGTGTCTGACACTGCCGCCGCTGATGTGTGTGTCTGACACTGCCGCTGATGTGTGTGTCTGACACTGCCGCCGCTGATGTGTGTGTCTGACACTGCCGCCGCTGATGTGTGTGTCTGACACTGCCGCTGATGTGTGTGTCTGACACTGCTGCTGATGTGTGTGTAGGATCTGATGGAGCTGCACCTGAGCTCCTGCACGCGCGTGACGGCCCGAGGCCTGCGGACGCTCCTCCGCTTCAGGCACTCTCTGCTGTCGCTCAGCCTCTTCGGCTCCTCCAGCCTCTTCTTCAGGCCAGCGTGTGACGACGAGGAGGAGGACGCGGAGGAGGACGCGCGCGCGCACACGCTGGACCGCAGCTTCAGCTTCCAGGGCTTCAGTCGTCTGCGCGTGCTGAACGTGGGCGGCCTGACGCCGGAGCTGGACGTGGAGTCGCTGCTGACGCCCCTGCCCGCGCTGAGCTCGCTCGACCTGTCCGGCGTACACGTTCCTCGCCCCGCCTTCCTCGCGCAGTGGAAGCAGCGGCTGGCGTCCCTCGTGCTGTACAACGTGGAGCTGACGGAGGAGCTCACACACACTCTGCTGCAGATGAGCAAACTCAGGTGAGGACACACACACACGTCGTTTTGGGTTTTAACGAGTCCCATTCCAATTGTAAAAATTAGAGTAAAAATGCAAAATATTAAATAAATAAAATTATCAAACTAAAAAATAATACATTCGATTTCATTTACAAAAAAAAGAAACATCTGTAATTTGTGACCGGCTCGTGAAGTAGAGCACCAGAGGTTAGAGTTATTGAACACGATCATCTGAATGACTGTAAACGTTTGACGGCCGATCAGCGAGATGTTTCCTCAGACACCTGGATATCTCCCGGGAGAACCAGAGATCCTCCAAGTTTAAGATGACGAGGAAGATCTTGAGCAGCCTCGCTCAGGGTCTGGTGGACCTGGTGTCCCTGGACATCTCCGGACACACCATGCTGGACAACGTCACGGTGCCGGCGCTGGAGGACGCGCTGGGCCGCCCGAGGTGAGCATGGCTACATCACTGCTACATCACCACTACATCATCGCTACATCACCACTACGTCACGGCTACGTCACCGCTACATCACTGCTACATCATCGCTACATCACCGCTACATCTCCGCTACATCTCCGCTACTTCACCGCTACATCACCGCTACTTCACCGCTACATCACCGCTACATCACCGCTACATCACCGCTACATCACGGCTACGTCACCGCTACATCTCCGCTACTTCACCGCTACGTCACCGCTACGTCACCGCTACATCACCGCTACTTCACCGCTACATCACCGCTACGTCATCGCTACGCCACCGCTACTTCACCGCTACATCACCGCTACGTCACGGCTACGTCACCGCTACATCACCGCTACATCACCGCTACATCTCCGCTACATCTCCGCTACATCTCCGCTACTTCACCGCTACATCACGAATACATCACGGCTACATCATCGCTACATCTCCGCTACATCTCCGCTACTTCACCGCTACATCACCGCTACTTCACCGCTACATCACCGCTACATCACCGCTACATCACCGCTACATCACGGCTACGTCACCGCTACATCTCCGCTACTTCACCGCTACGTCACCGCTACGTCACCGCTACATCACCGCTACTTCACCGCTACATCACCGCTACGTCATCGCTACGTCACCGCTACTTCACCGCTACATCACCGCTACGTCACGGCTACGTCACCGCTACATCACCGCTACATCACGGCTACATCATCGCTACATCTCCGCTACATCTCCGCTACTTCACCGCTACATCACGAATACATCACGGCTACATCATCGCTACATCTCCGCTACATCTCCGCTACTTCACCGCTACATCACCGCTACATTTATGCATTAGTATACGCTTTATCCACAGCGACTTACATTGATATCTGAGTGTGTGTGTGTGTGTGTGTTTGCAGCATCGAGCCGAGCAAGAGCAGCATTTACCCGTTTCAGGAGCTGAAGAGGCCGTTGCAGTTCTTGGGCCTTTACAACACCACACTCTGCACCGTCACACACATACCAGCGTATAAGGTGCCGCTCACACACACACTCACTCACTCACTCACTCACACACACTCACTCACTCACACACACTCACACACACTCACACACACACACACACTCACTCACTCACTCACTCACTCACTCACTCACTCACTCACTCACACACACAGTTACACACTCACTCTCACACACACACATGCGGTGACTGTGTTTCTTGTGTCCGGTGCTCTAATTGATTTCCGTTTTTGTGTGTGTGTGTGTGTAGGTCACCGGCTCCAAGAACGAGGATCAGATTCTGAACGCTATAGAGGCGTACACTGAACAACGGCCTGAACTCGCCCATCGAGCCATAAACCAGCTGTTCGACATCGCCAGAATCCAGCACTGCAGTCAACTACTGCGAGCACTACAGGTCTCACACACACACACACACACACACACACTGCAGTCAACTACTGCGAGCACTACAGGTCACACACACACACACACACACACACACACACACACTGCAGTCAACTACTGCGAGCACTACAGGTCTCACACACACACACACACACACACTGCAGTCAACTACTGCGAGCACTACAGGTCACACACACACACACACACACACACACTGCAGTCAACTACTGCGAGCACTACAGGTCTCACACACACACACACACACACACACACTGCAGTCAACTACTGCGAGCACTACAGGTCACACACACACACACACACACACACACTGCAGTCAACTACTGCGAGCACTACAGGTCTCACACACACACACACACACTGCAGTCAACTACTGCGAGCACTACAGGTCACACACACACACACACACACACACACACTGCAGTCAACTACTGCGAGCACTACAGGTCTCACACACACACACACACACACACTGCAGTCAACTACTGCGAGCACTACAGGTCTCACACACACACACACACACACACTGCAGTCAACTACTGCGAGCACTACAGGTCACACACACACACACACACACACACACTGCAGTCAACTACTGCGAGCACTACAGGTCTCACACACACACACACACACACACACACACACACTGCAGTCAACTACTGCGAGCACTACAGGTCACACACACACACACACACACTGCAGTCAACTACTGCGAGCACTACAGGTCTCACACACACACACACACACACACACACACTGCAGTCAACTACTGCGAGCACTACAGGTCACACACACACACACACACACACACTGCAGTCAACTACTGCGAGCACTACAGGTCTCACACACACACACACACACACACACACACACTGCAGTCAACTACTGCGAGCACTACAGGTCTCACACACACACACACACACACACACACACACACACACACACTGCAGTCAACTACTGCGAGCACTACAGGTCTCACACACACACACACACACACACACACACACACACACACTGCAGTCAACTACTGCGAGCACTACAGGTCTCACACACACACACACACACACACACACACACACACACTGCAGTCAACTACTGCGAGCACTACAGGTCACACACACACACACACACACACACACTGCAGTCAACTACTGCGAGCACTACAGGTCACACACACACACACACACACACACACTGCAGTCAACTACTGCGAGCACTACAGGTCACACACACACACACACACACTGCAGTCAACTACTGCGAGCACTACAGGTCACACACACACACACACACACACACTGCAGTCAACTACTGCGAGCACTACAGGTCACACACACACACACACACACTGCAGTCAACTACTGCGAGCACTACAGGTCACACACACACACACACACACACACACACACTGCAGTCAACTACTGCGAGCACTACAGGTCACACACACACACACACACACACACACACACACACACACTGCAGTCAACTACTGCGAGCACTACAGGTCTCACACACACACACACACACACACACACACACTGCAGTCAACTACTGCGAGCACTACAGGTCTCACACACACACACACACACACACACACACTGCAGTCAACTACTGCGAGCACTACAGGTCTCACACACACACACACACACACACACTGCAGTCAACTACTGCGAGCACTACAGGTCTCACACACACACACACACACACACTGCAGTCAACTACTGCGAGCACTACAGGTCTCACACACACACACACACACACTGCAGTCAACTACTGCGAGCACTACAGGTCACACACACACACACACACACACACACACACTGCAGTCAACTACTGCGAGCACTACAGGTCACACACACACACACACACACACACACACACACACACTGCAGTCAACTACTGCGAGCACTACAGGTCACACACACACACACACACACACACACACACTGCAGTCAACTACTGCGAGCACTACAGGTCACACACACACACACACACACACACACACACTGCAGTCAACTACTGCGAGCACTACAGGTCACACACACACACACACACTGCAGTCAACTACTGCGAGCACTACAGGTCTCACACACACACACACACACACACACACACACACTGCAGTCAACTACTGCGAGCACTACAGGTCTCACACACACACACACACACACTGCAGTCAACTACTGCGAGCACTACAGGTCACACACACACACACACACACACTGCAGTCAACAACTGCGAGCACTACAGGTCTCACACACACACACACACACACACACACACACACTGCAGTCAACTACTGCGAGCACTACAGGTCACACACACACACACACACACACTGCAGTCAACTACTGCGAGCACTACAGGTCTCACACACACACACACACACACACACACACTGCAGTCAACTACTGCGAGCACTACAGGTCACACACACACACACACACACACACACACACACACACACACACACACACACACACTGCAGTCAACTACTGCGAGCACTACAGGTCTCACACACACACACACACACACACACACACACTGCAGTCAACTACTGCGAGCACTACAGGTCTCACACACACACACACACACACACACACACACACTGCAGTCAACTACTGCGAGCACTACAGGTCACACACACACACACACACTGCAGTCAACTACTGCGAGCACTACAGGTCTCACACACACACACACACACACACACTGCAGTCAACTACTGCGAGCACTACAGGTCTCACACACACACACACACACACACACACACACACACTGCAGTCAACTACTGCGAGCACTACAGGTCTCACACACACACACACTCACACACACACACACACACACTGCAGTCAACTACTGCGAGCACTACAGGTCTCACACACACACACACACACACACACACTGCAGTCAACTACTGCGAGCACTACAGGTCACACACACACACACACACTGCAGTCAACTACTGCGAGCACTACAGGTCTCACACACACACACACACACACACACTGCAGTCAACTACTGCGAGCACTACAGGTCTCACACACACACACACACACACACACACACACACACTGCAGTCAACTACTGCGAGCACTACAGGTCTCACACACACACACACACACACACACTGCAGTCAACTACTGCGAGCACTACAGGTCTCACACACACACACACACACACACACACACACACACACACTGCAGTCAACTACTGCGAGCACTACAGGTCACACACACACACACACACACACACACACACACACACACACACACACACACACACACACTGCAGTCAACTACTGCGAGCACTACAGGTCTCACACACACACACACACACACACACACACACACACACACACTGCAGTCAACTACTGCGAGCACTACAGGTCACACACACACATACAGCTCAATAGAGTCATTATCCAGATTGATTCAGTTCAATAACGAGTGTCGGATCTGATAGTGTCAGTGCGGTCTTATTTCTGAGTGTTACGTCTCCTGTAAGGCGTATCAAGTGCAGTCATGTGATCTCAGACTGGTTTCCGCAGTGCATGCGCGTGTCATGTGATCTGTGTGACGTGTGTGTGGTGTGTGTGTTCCAGCTGGTGATCACAGCGCTGAAGACTCATAAGTACGATAAGAGCATCCAGGTGACGGGCAGCGCGGCTCTGTTCTACCTCACCAACACCGAGTACCGCAGCGACCAGAGTGTGTGTCTGCGCAGACAGGTCATACAGGTCGTGCTCAACGGCATGGAGCAGTACCAGGAGGTCACGGTGAGGGCAACACACACACACACACACACACACTCACACTAGGGGTGCACGATATATCGAATCGTTATCGCGATATCACGTTGCTCGATATCAATATCAAAAATCTTGCGATATTTATGCAATATTGTGTTTATGATGCGTCCGGTCCGACATGCACCGTTGCATTTCCCCCGACTCATTTCCTGATTCTCCTTCTCCATAAACAACATGACATCAAGAAGAGGGTTAACTCTTCATGCTACAGATTTCCCACAGTGGTCAGAAAGAACAGGGGAGATGTTTTTCTCAATATGACTGAGTCGCTACTCGCTCCAAAGCTAATCGCCGTCACTCTCTCACTTCTCTACTACCACAGTCCCCACACACACACACACTTGCCGGCCACCTGGCCACTTCATGCGTTTTCTCTGATCGGATACCTGTCTGATTTATCAAAACGATATTCCTTTTACACCTGGTCACATAAATGTGTTTTTGCAAACCGGATATAAATCCGATCTTCAATTAGGGATGTCCCGATCCGATCACGTGGTTTCAGACTCGATCGGAATCGGACGTTACCTCCCGATCAGGACTCGGATATATGTAAATTAGGGGTGTAACGGTACATGTATTCGTAATTATTGAACCGTTTCGGTACGAGGCTTCCGGTTCGGTACGCATACAAACCGAACGATTCCTGGGACCATTTTCCCTGCAGACAAAATCCGCGCTGGCGCGATCACCACAACGCTGCCAACATCACATGGCAAACGTAATGAAAGCGGAACGAAACTGCGCTGCTCATTATATTGTGCTTAACGGACCGTTTATCAGTTCGGACCAGCAACATCTGTGCAGCGCGAGATCAAGCGACACTGTGCTGAGAGATCCAGTGAAGAAAACATTTAAATTCGGCAACGAAGTAATAATATCGCTGCGAGATCTAGTGAGACGCATTCACATTTCTCCATTATTAACCGTAGATCTCTATTAGATCAAACAGCGCTGACGTGGACACCAGGAGAAACATTGTGCCGTGAATGAACATGGATTTAACGTTAATGTTGCACTTCAAAACTCAAATATTATATAAATATATATTTAAATGTTATTTTTAATGTGATTACCAAAACATTATTTGTTCATCCTTCAAAGATTACCCCCATTTATAAACCTGAAAGTTTCAAGATGTAGGAAAACTCAAACTTATTTAAAAATAGTTTTTCTTTTAATAAATAGGAAATTTCTCTGGCATTTCTTTCTTTTTGCTGTATCGTATCGAACCGAACCGCAAATTTTACTGCAACTGTTACACCCCTAATGTATATATTCCCATTATTTTTTTATACACTTTTAAAACATTTTTATTTTTTGTTTACATGCCTGCCGGGTATTTTAAGTTGAGGTGCTATTTGTTTTTATATTAGACTTTTTCTATATTTACTATTGCACTAAAGTCCAAATGTGAAGATTTTATGTTATTTATTACTTGATTGTTCAAGCTACCGCACAGAAGTGCTCTGTTTGTTAACAGAGTTGTTGAATGTTAAAATAAGGTGAATTAAATAAAAAATAAGGAACATCCTGGATCTGTTTTTTCTCTCTTTATTCTTTTTTTATGTATTATATAAGTATCGGATCGGGACTCGGTATCGGTAGATACTCAAAATCAAATGACTCGGACTCGAGGGCAAAAAAACCTGATCGGGACATCCCGATCTTCAAGTCCCGCGCTATAGCCTATGCAGATTTAATATAGTGCACGTCACCGAAAGCAACAGTTATGATCTTTACGATCATCAGCTAAAATGTCAAAATCAAATAACGCAGTAAGAGAGAGCGGCAACATCCCTGGTAAGATCATTTCGATTATTTACTTTTAATGAAGATGATTGTGTGTTAAGCGTCTGCGACTCACTCTCACTCTGATGTGCGATAGTTTGCGCGTTGGCTTGATGAAGAGATGCTCATCTGCGGTGACGTGTTGCAGCTGCGCGCGTCGTCATATCTGACTATAACATGACATGTAGCCTGTAACACGTTCTCATTTTTAGCGTTTTTGGGAGGAGTACATTTACATATGTGGTTTCAACAACAGATGCATTACACTTGTCCAGTTTCGTCTGTAATGCGGCCCAGAGCTCCTCCTGATGTGGTGTGAGCGAGCGGATTCAAACCCGTCTCGAGTGTGTATCGGAGGGCATTTACACCTGGTCTCTTCACGAGCAGATAGCTATCCCATCACAGAAACACATGAAGTGGCCAGGTGTGTTCTGTAGACTTGCTCTTTATTGTTTTTTACACTGTAGTGTACATAACCAGTAAAACATGTCCTGTTCTGTAGACATGGTTATTATTTATTCATTCATGTTGTACCAGTCCAATATGACTGTCAGTTGAAATAAACCTTATGTTGTAAGAACTTGTTTTATTTATTAATCTTTTTTGATGCGTTTTCCCATAACTTTTGTAGTTTTACATACGTTTAAAAATATCAAAATTAATATCGATATCGCAATATTCATTATCGATATCGCAATATCACCTTTTTGTCAATATTGTGCACCCCCTAGGGGTGTAACGGTACACAAAAATCACGGTTCGGTACGTACCTCGGTTTTAAAGTCACGGTTCGGTACGTTTTCGATACAGCAAAAAGTAAGAAATGCCAGAGAAATTTCCTATTTGTTAAAAGAAAAAATATTTTTTAAATAAGTGAGTTTTCCTACATCTTGAAACTTTCAGGTTTATAAATGGGGGTCATCTTTGAAGGATGAACAAATAATGTTTTGGTCATCACATTAAAAATAACATTTAAATATATGAAGAGTTCAGATGCAAAAGCCATTTGAAATTTTCTTCTAGAATGATCATTTTTATCAAGCTTGTATATTTAAGTTCAGTAATTTCACTTAAATGGTAATGAAGATTGCCTATTAATTGTCATTTGAGTGAAATTACTGAACTTAAATATACAAGCTTCATAAAAATGATCATTCTAGAAGAAAATTTCAAATGGCACTTAGAGGCGTTTGCATCTGAACTCTTATATTTATTTATATAATATTTGAGGTTTGAAGTGCTGGAAAAAGATGTGTGAAGTACTTGAAAGCATTTCACTATTCCAGCCGAACTGGTTACAGTGAGTGTTACTATATTAAATCCATGGTGAATGTTGCTGGTCTGTGGACGTAAAGTATTACTAGTTCATTCTCGGCACAATGTTTCTCCTGGTGTCCACGTCAGCGCTGTTTGATCTAATAGAGATCTACGGTTAATAACGGAGAAATGTGAATGCTTCTCACTAGATCTCGCAGCGATGTTATTACTTCAGTGGCGAATTCAAATGTTTTCTTTACTGGATCTTAGCGCTGTGTTGTAACAGTGTCGCTTGATCGAGATCGGCGCGCGCTGCACAGATGTTGCTGGTCCGAACTGATAAACGACCCGTGAAGCACATAATGAGTAACGCAGTTTCGTTCCGCTTTCATTACGCTTGCCATTTGATGTTGCGCAACGTTGTGGTGATCGCGCCAGCGCGAATTTTGTCGGCAGGAAAAATGGTCCAAGGAATCGTTCGGTTTGAATGCGTACCGAACCGGAAGCATCGAACCGAAACGGTTCAATACGAATACATGTACCGTTACACCCCTACCCCTAACACACACACACACACACACACACACACCAGCTCTCAGGGGGCACAGGTATTCTGGCAAACATAGCTGACGGTTTGTTTCTGTAAAACTGACAAGATCTGTTTCTGTGTGTGTGTGTGTGTGTGTGTTTCTGTGCATGTTTGTGTGCGTGTTTCTGTGCGTGTGTGTGTGTGTGTGTGTTTCTGTGCATGTTTGTGTGCGTGTTTCTGTGCGTGTGTGTGTGTGTGTGTGTGTGTGCTTGTTTCTGTGCGTGTGTGCGTTGCGTGTTTCTTTGTATGCGTGTGTGTGTGCGTATCTCTGTCCGTGTGCGTGTGTGTGTGTGTGTGTGTGTGTGCTTGTTTCTGTGCGTGTGTGTGTGTGTGTGTGTGTGTGTGTCTATCTGTGTGCGTATCTCTGTGTGTGTGTGTGTGTGTATCTCTGTGTGTGTGTGTGTGTGTATCTCTGTGTGTGTGTGTGTGTGTGTGTGTGTGCAGGTCCAGAGGAACTGCTGCCTGACGCTGTGTAACTTCAGTATCCCGGAGGAGCTGGAGTTCCAGTACGAGCGAGTGAATCTGCTCCTGCTGAAGATCCTGGAGCCGCTGCGTCAGGACGAGTCCATCCAGCGCATCGCCGTGCACCTGTGCAACGCCCTCGTGTGCCAGGTCGACAACGACCACAAGGAGGCCGTGGGCAAGATGGGCTTCGTCAAGGTACACGCGACCGGCGCTGATCTCCCGGAGAGATGCGCACAGATTTAAGCTTTATTCCCCTGTAAACACTCGACCGGTGATGTTCTCTCAGCGAATCCACTGCAGCGAATCCTTACGGTCACAATCTATCGCAACATGTATGGTGGATGGTGACCCCAAAATAAAGATTAAAGGTTTTAGTGTCAGTACTACATTAAACTACTATATATAATGTAGAATATAATGTATAATAATGCGATTGGGGGATATTTGTGTGTCCTGATTCTGTAATGCCAAATATTGTTACCAGTAAAAGTGGGCGACATTATTTTAAATATATCAGAGATCAAGCATATTCATCTACAATAATTCAGTTTTCAGCTTCAGAATCATGAATATTGTTATTCTGGCGTCTCTTTTGTCCTGCATTGGGTTATTATCAGCGTATTCGTATTCATTTACACACACACTGTAAATCCAAATATAGCATTTTAATCAAACTGTAGATTTTTTGTCCTCCTTTTATCATGTGTCTGACACCTGAGTGTCGAGCCGTGAGTGACGCCCCTGTCTCACACCGCACTCGTGTCTGAGGGCATGAGGAGAGCAGGAGATGTTCCTCAGATCGGCTTTCACACGCCTTTACATTCACCAGCTCTAATGCATAAATCCTAGCCTGGATGCCAGCCCGAACCCCGCTCACAACATTATTGGGTCGGGAAGTTCGGTCTGGACTCGATCCATTGAGGAGTAATTATGATCAGTCAAAAAATGTTCGGGCCAATCAAATTGCCAGGGCGGGCTTTATACGATGATGGACAGATGATCTGGAGTTACGTAATCCTCACGTTATCAGAGAGCGCTTGGGCTGAACTGGTTTCCCTCAGAGATGGAGCGCTTGGGCTGAACTGGTTTCCCTCAGAGATGGAGCGGTTGGGCTGAACTGGTTTCCCTCAGAGATGGAGCGCTTGGGCTGAACTGGTTTCCCTCAGAGATGGAGCGCTTGGGCTGAACTGGTTTCCCTCAGAGATGGAGCGCTTGGGCTGAACTGGTTTCCCTCAGAGATGGAGCGCTTGGGCTGAACTGGTTTCCCTCAGAGATGGAGCGCTTGGGCTGAACTGGTTTCCCTCAGAGATGGAGCGCTTGGGCTGAACTGGTTTCCCTCAGAGATGGAGCGCTTGGGCTGAACTGGTTTCCCTCAGAGATGGAGCGCTTGGGCTGAACTGGTTTCCCTCAGAGATGGAGCGCTTGGGCTGAACTGGTTTCCCTCAGAGATGGAGCGCTTGGGCTGAACTGGTTTCCCTCAGAGATGGAGCGCTTGGGCTGAACTGGTTTCCCTCAGAGATGGAGCGCTTGGGCTGAACTGGTTTCCCTCAGAGATGGAGCGCTTGGGCTGAACTGGTTTCCCTCAGAGATGGAGCGCTTGGGCTGAACTGGTTTCCCTCAGAGATGGAGCGCTTGGGCTGAACTGGTTTCCCTCAGAGATGGAGCGCTTGGGCTGAACTGGTTTCCCTCAGAGATGGAGCGCTTGGGCTGAACTGGTTTCCCTCAGAGATGGAGCGCTTGGGCTGAACTGGTTTCCCTCAGAGATGGAGCGCTTGGGCTGAACTGGTTTCCCTCAGAGATGGAGCGCTTGGGCTGAACTGGTTTCCCTCAGAGATGGAGCGCTTGGGCTGAACTGGTTTCCCTCAGAGATGGCTGCCGCTGGAGAACTGAGATGTAGAGATCCCGCTATTGCGTCTGTTGTAAAAGAAATCGACAGCGCATTCATTTTAAAAGACGAACAGAGAACTGCAATCAAGGCATTTGTCGATCGGAAAGATGCGTTTGCCGTCCTTCCTACGGGATTCAGCATAAGTTTAATTTATCAGCTGGCTCCGATGGTCACTGAGAAGAGGGAACGCAATGAAAGCCCTGTGGGCGGTGTGGTTTCTCCTTTGGTCGCACTCATGGAGGACCAAGTAAAAGAAGCAACACTCATTATTTTACTTCTTCCAGCGTGCGTGTTGTCTTCTTCCAGCGGTTCTGTTGACATTGACAACTATGCGTAGCTCATAAAAAAACACTTCTGATTGGTTGTAGGTCTATCCAATTGAGTACAGAGGGTTTTTGTTCCTGGTTCGGTTAAGACACGCCTCATAATCACAGCCCTGTGGAGCAGCATCACTCACATCTCACATCTGACTAGAGTACGAGTCTGACGAAGGCTACATAAAACCCATTAGTCTGACACTGCTGCCATATGGGAACTGCAGTGATGCGCTTCCTGTTTCATACATTCATAGAAACATAAATTCAATTCACATTTTAATGCGATTGTCTGATGGTGTGTGTATGTGTGTGTGTGTGTCGCAGACGATGCTGAATCTGATCCAGAAGAAGCTGCAGGACAGAATGGTGCGTCTCACTGTCACTCATAAACTACTGTAGTTTTGGTTCATATTTTTATACAGTCAAACCATCATTATTCAGAATCCTTCAACATTTCTCACATCATCAGTTTATCCGCTATAGTTTATAAACATGAGCAGAACTCAGAGTTCTCAGATCAGTGGATATTTGACTGGTTTTGTCCGCCCTTCTGTTAGACTCTCACACATGAATTATGTTGAATATCTGTCAGCTGTTAAATTTAACTACACAATTAGAGAATACCAGTTTAGCTCAACCAGTGACCAAGCAATGCTTCATGTTGTTCAGTGTGTGTGTGTAAAAAGAGCATTAGCAATTACAGAAAACACACTTCAGCAAAACATGATCAGCTCAAAGTGGAGGAATCATTTAAATTATGAATATATTATTATTGTAAATGTTTCTGGTAGTCACTGTATGACGAGTGTGTGTGTGTTCAGTGTGATCAGGTGATGGAGTTCTCCTGGAGTGCGCTGTGGAACATCACTGACGAGACGCCGGATAATTGCCAGATGTTTCTGGAGTGTAACGGCATGAAGCTGTTCCTGGACTGCCTGAAGGTGTGTGTGTGTGTGTGTGTGTGCAGTTTAACCCACACACAGGTCCAAATGTCCGAGTCATAAATCTGTGGTTTCCGCTTGGGAGCGCAGACTTGAGTTTGGTTCCATTTTAAAGAAGATTGGAAGTAAAAAAAAAAGTTTAAAGGGGTCATATAATGCCATTTTTGTACAAGCTAGTATGATTCTTTAGGGTCTAACTTAAAAGTCTGTAATATACTTAAATTAAAAATTCTCATTAGTATTGTAAGAAAACACTTATTTTACCTGGTCAAAAACGGCTCTGTTTTCAGCACGCCGTTTCAGTGTATATGACTTTAAATGATAATGAGCTTCGCTGACTCCGCCCCTCTGTTCTGTGCGTACACGTTTATAACACAATAACCATAACGCGTTGTTCATTATAAACGTGGGATTATGAATTATATGGAGAACATCATACATAGAAAACATGCAGTAATGTACCCTGAGTGTAAACCTTAGACTCATCGTGAAGCGATTTGCAAAGATATAAATATTAATATAAAGGTTAATAAAACGTTACACTCACTTCAGTTGTTCTAGAGGTTCAGCAGGAACACGAATATCTGGTACCGATTCTTTTTTCATGAGCTGCTTCTCAGCAAAACCAGCTTTACACTGACCCTGGTTTATAAAGCAGTCTGGTGTGAGAAATGATTTGCGCAAACATGAGAGCATTGACGTTGCTCGTGGGGAATATTCCCTTCGAAAACAAACTCAGCCACTGCGTCTTCAGCGGTTCGGATTTAGGAACATTCAAATGACTGTGTTCGTTATTACACCCAAGAACAGAACACCACAATCGCTTAGAGCCATTCTGCTCATAGACAGTGCTCCAGCATATCAACAATGAGCGCGCCGGTCCGCAGACTATGATTGACAGCTCGCTCACGAGCGAGGGCGGGTCTGTGTTGAAACGCGCCTGTCAATCAACAATCGCGGGAGGGGCTTCCGACCGTGTGACGAACGGCTCAATTTGAGGCAGGGGAAAACATAAGGAGATTAAAACAAAACCACTGGATGGATTTTTATCATTATATGATGTTTGTGTACAGGCACTGCCAACACACATTTCAGCACAATCAACTTGTAAAAGTGCATGTACCATTATATGACCCCTTTAAAAAGTGAAACCAAAAAAAAGTTATAGAGGATTAGGTTTCTGAAAATGATTTCTGAATAATGTTTTATATAAAATATATATTTTATGAAACATGTTGAACTCTAAAACTGATGGGAAAATCACAAATGTAAACAAGTCGCGATCCAAATGTGAGGTTGATATGTTAAATAATGTGAGTGTGTGAGTGTCAGTGTGAGTGTGTGAGTGTTTGAGTGTGTGTGTTTGAGTGTGTGTGTGTGTGTGTGTGTGTGTGTGTGTGTGTGTGTGTGTGTGTGTGTGTGTGTGTGTGTGTGTGTGTGTGTGTGTGTGTGTGTGTGTGTGTGTGTGTGTGTGTGTGTGTGTGTGTTTGAGTGTGTGTGAGTGCAGGACCAGATTCCCCGTTAGATGCAGCGAAACTCACCTGGACACAGCGCTGGGTTTGAGTTCCTCTCAAATCTTACAAGCACACACACACACACTCACACACACACACACTCAAACACACACACACACACACATTTCATAAATGTGTACAGTTTTGTTGTGACAATGACCATGCTTTTGTCAAACTCGAGAAGGTTTGAGGATTTGTACATGTAATAAGGTGTGTGGGGAGAGTATTCCACTGAGTTATAGCCACAAAAGAAAAGGCTGATTTGCCAAATGAGGTTTTGCGATTTGGAATATTGCATTCTCCTCTAGTGGCCGACCGAGTAGCTCTTTTTTTTTCGGAGTTGAGCACAATACATTTTTTTAGAGGATAGTTCATCCGATTGGCTCTATGATATGCAGAAGCAGAAAACAGGAATAAGAGTATTTGCCAAACCGGAGATCTGTGTGTCCTCATCTGGGGAGCAGAGCAGTGGAAGTGTGGAGGCCGAGCCGCCGGAGCGAGAGCCTGTTAAAGATTGCATCATTTTATAGTTTAATGGCGCTGGGATTCAAGATTGCAATGGGGATGTTTTTGTCTTTATGGTCCTGAGAGGAACTATTTTGTGTTACTAGTGCAAAATAGATTAATTAAAGGAAATGGGGGTGAAATAATAACATTCCAATATAAACACACATTACACACCTGTGCCAACATTCATGCAGTGGGCATTACACAGGTCACATGATCAAAGTAGCGGAACTGAAAGAGACACAGATGTCCATCAGTTCACACAAGCATTCCAAACACACCCTGAATAACCTTTGGTGTCACATGACCGTTTGCATCGGCTCTTGTTTGATTTCTGCTCTCAGGAGTTTCCAGATAAACAGGAGCTGCACCGAAACATGCTGGGGCTTCTGGGTAATGTGGCTGAAGTGAGAGCGCTGAGACCGCAGCTCCTGACCAAGCAGTTCATCAGCGTCTTCAGGTGCGGCTCGCGCTCAGTGCAGTGCATGATGGGACGGGGTCAGAGGTCGTGTGTGTCTGACCTGTGTGTGTGTGTGTGTGTGTCTCAGTGAGCTGCTGGAGAGTAAGGCGGACGGCATCGAGGTGTCCTACAACGCCTGTGGGGTTCTGTCCCACATCATGTTCGACGGGCCCGAGGTCTGGGCCATGGAGGAGCCCCAGAGGTCAGAGGTCATGGACAAAATGTGGGCGGCCATCCAGAGCTGGGACGTTAGCTCGCGACGCAACATCAACTACAGGTGTGTGTGTGTAACCTCACGCTAATCAAATGCTATTGATGATGATGATGAGGAGGATGACCTAGTTATGACTCTTTTAAACTCACATGCTGTATTTTCTGAAAAATAAGTCACACGGGTCAAAATTGCATTGTTGAGAAACTCTGATAAGTTGTGTCGGTGTACAAGTCATATTTTATTATTACATATAAAATAATGTGAAATACCGGTAAATAAAATTAAATATTTACAAATACTATAAACATGTATTTTTTAGGGATGCACGATGATATCGGGACAACATCGGTATCGGCCGATAAAAGCTTAAAATGACCATCATCGGCATCGGCCGATATGAATATTCCTATGTTTCCTATGCGCACGTGACGACCGTGACCGAAGCATGAGCGCCAGCAACTTAAACTCAACTAGGGGTGTGCGTCAGTTTTTGATCGTGGACGATTAAAATGTCTCCACGATCTGCTTTTGAAGAAAAATCATAGTATCGTGCATACCTGTCAACACTCCCGTTTTTCCCGGGTTTCTCCCGTTTTTTAGCCCTATCTCCCGGACCCCTCCCGGTTTGTTATTTTTCCCGGGAAACTCCCGTAATTTGCATGGCCCAAACTCCTTTATGAATAATCGGACCAATATGTTTGTCTAATGTTGACCAGTTGCCAGATTGTATTAAATGCATTATATTCACACAATCCACAGACCATTTACAATTTCAACCCGTTTGTCACCTCAACCTGGCAACCTATAACCCAGTTGCGCAGTCGCGGAAAGTTTAACCCGAAAGCGAGCCGATAGACATGATGGCAGGTGAAGGTGGTGTCCCCGCAATGAAACTGAAGTACAGATTGTAACGCGTTGCTTCAGGAAGATTAGGGATAGCTCACAACTGAAGATATTGCATGCAGAGGCCAGACAGACTCACGGAGGCGATTGGCATCTCACAACTCGCACTTTATTCCCAAATCGAACTCGTCTAGCCTAACTGTCTGTCACACGTTCTACTGTCCACATCGTTAGCCTACTTAATAAACAAAATAAGATAAAAATTAGCATCAAACAGAAATTACCCGCATACATGGGGTGTTTGCATAGACAGTAAAAGGGGTGTTCGAGGCCCAAGGCACATACAATACAATACTGCCGACAGTTCAACAGGGAGCGCACAGCTCTTAAAGGGGCCACACCTTATTTCCAGTCGTTACAAGTTGTACATTTAACCCCCCCCCCCCGCCGGAGAAATCTCCCGGATTTTGAAAACCAAATGTTGACAGGTATGGTATCGTGCATTCTATCAGTTCAATTCTGGCGCCTTCATCTCAACATACTGTACAACACGACGTACATTCACATCACATGTAAACACAGAGGTAGAGTTACACTCACGGGACACCTCAATTCACAAAAGTTCATTATTTGCATGTGCGTCAAAGTCTTGCTAGTTAAACATGTCATTCGCGTGCTGATGCGCTGTTCTAACATCCGCTTTACTGAGCGCATACACCCGACGCTCACAGGAACTAAAGCCGTCACAGCGCCTGCACACTGGACTAATCTTTCGAGTCCTACTGCGCTGATACTGTCAAATACACACAAGGTTTACATAAACAAAGTTGGTTATGTCTAAAGTGAAAGCAAACAGAGAAAATCTGCTCGTCAAATGCGTGTGTATTAGACGCGTCACGTGCAGTTCTTAAAGCTGCTGTCCGTAGCTTTTTTTGGGTTAAAAATTATCCAAAATACATATTTGATAAAATACATAACCAGCCAGTGTTCAAAACTATCTGCTTGCCTTAGCTCGATGCAAAACGGTAAGCTTGTAATAATGTTTTTAATTTTAGTGGTACTGGTGGATTTCCGCGGGAGATTCGAGCATGTCTTTGCGTCATTACGTCACATCTGTACACATAAAGAAGGAGTCTCGGCTAGTATAAGCTATATTGCGTGTGAGGATGTTGGAGGTAGAGATTTATAGCCTTTTCTCACAGCACTTGATATAATTAAACTTATCAATTTGATGGCGGATCCAGAAAGGTTCAAACGACGATCATCATCAGTGACAACTAGAGATTCACCCGCTGTAAAATGCAAAAGACTTCGTTCGGACTTCGGAGTGGCTACAGAAAAAAAGAGACTGCAACCGGACCCATGCGAAAACAAGGATAATATCGGAAGGACATTACATGATGTAGTCACGCAATGCTTGCTGACGTTGTTAACATTAACAATTAGAGAACATAGTATAGCTACTTTGCACGGTTTTGCGTGAAATGATAACTTATAAGCAATTGTTAGATTTAATCAGCGCGATTTACTGCAATGTCAGAACCAGAACAAAAGTGAATGTTTCTTACTAGTTCAGATGACATTTCCCGGTGAAAATTCTTATGTTGGTCATACTTCCAAAAAGAATAATCTGTGATTCTGAATGCCAGTATCCACACCGGCGCGGTGACTGACAGCTGCACACTCTCCTCAAACACTGTGTTCATCCGCGCTGTGCCGTGTCGAGGGTGTTGAACTACAACCCACGTAAAGTTGATAATTCCGCGAATGACTGCAATTGCAGATTTCGAACAGAGATGGCGACAAAGAGGAAAAATGCCGGACTGCAGCTTTAAAGAGACAGTAATAATATGCGGCCGCTTGTCCTTAAAGAGATACTGCACCCAGAAATAAAAATTCTGCCATTATTTACTCACTCTAGTGTTGTTCCAAACCTGTATTCATTTCTTTCTTGTGCTAAAATATACTATGGAAGTCACTAGAGTACAGCAACTGTTTGGTTAGCCACATTCTTCCAAATAACTTTTATTTTCAACAGAAGAAAGAAACTTGAGAGAGTAAATGATGACAATTGAAATTTTTGGGAGAACTATCCCTTTAATGTTAATAAAACAACAAAACACAGAGGAAATCACTCACTGCTCTTGACTGAGAACTTTAATAGAAGCTTTAATAAGCTTTTTTTGCACTTAAAAAAAACAAACATATATATCGGTATCGGCATCGGGCAAAATTAGTTTGAAAATATCGGCATATCGAATATCGGCCAAAATCCAATATCGTGCATCCCTAGTATTTTGGTTTCCTTTCACTCTACAACAAATCCTCATCCTTCCCTCGGCTCATTCTGACACGCAATGCTTTTTTCTTTTTTAAACAGTAGCGAATCCTTCCCTCTCGGCTCAATCTGACCTCCTTAGGAACGAGTGAACGCGAGGAATGCTTCAGTTCACACAGAAAACCCTAAACATGCTCAGTTCAAACTAAGAATGATCAACTTTACCAAAATATGATTGTATAATGTGTACATGTGTGTGTGAATGCACACTGAGGGGAACTGGCTTTAGGACCCAGCGGAACAGCTCCTCTGCATATAGAGCTATAAGCCCATCTAGAGTCAGGAAATATCATGTGTTATTATTATTATTCCACAAGAGGTCGGCAGAGACTCCCGGTGTAAGATATTTAGAGCTGAATTACAAGAGTTATGCATGAGTTATTTTGAATTTAAGTTGAAAGAATGTGAGGAATGTGCTTAAATTAATATTTTTTTATTATTAATTAATCAAATCTAGTTATTTAAAGGTAAATAAAATATAAAATGACAAAAAATCTCCCCAAAAATTGCATAAAAAAATAGACAAAATATTATCAAAGTGAAATAAAATAAGATTTCTGGACCCCCCAAAAAAAGTATAATTTTAGGGCTTCGGGTCATTCTGACCCGCGAGGGAAAGAAGTGTTACAGAACGCGAGGGAAGGATGAGGGTTACATGTAACGGTATTCAGAACAGAACAGGAATGAAAAATAGTCATAAAACACATAAATTAGAGTGGCATTTATTATGAATGGTAAGAGTAAATGCATGTATATGTGTGTATAAGCTTGAGCTCGCGCTTCAGCATCAGTGCACACGTGTGTCTGATCGGGTTTACGTGCTTGGCGTTAACCGCATTATATAACGCGCATGTTTCAGATCATGTGACTGATATCAGAAAATGACTTAAAAGTGCAGTGTGTAATATTTAGGAGGATCTGTTGACAGAAATGCAATATCATACACATAACTATGTGTTCAGTGGTGTATAAAGAGGCGTTTCTCTCTACACACACCGCGGGTCCGCTTACACACACATGTTTCTACGGTGGCCCTGAACGGACACACGCGTTTCGCCACTGTGTTGTTCTTCATGATAAGAAGCTGCTAAAGTCAGCGAATAAAACACTGACACAATGATGAACAAGTCACAATAATAATCACAATAACATATCATTTTACTGAATAATCAGGTAAACATAATTTCCTAATAGATCTTTGTAAAGAATCCTCAGTGCTTAACTGGCTACTCTCTGTGGTCTCAGACGACGACATCACTTCCTGTCGTCCACCGTAACTTCTGTTGGGTGCGATGCACAACCTCACCACTAGATGCTGCTAAACTTACACACTGCACCTTTAAGAGATCAGAGTGATGTCATCTGTTAGCAGACACTCGTCACTGACGTGTGTGTGTGTGTGTGCAGGTCGTTCGAGCCGATCCTGCGTCTCCTCCCTCAGAGTGGGGCTCCGGTCAGCCAGCACTGGGCCACATGGGCGCTTTATAACCTGGTGTCAGTTTACCGTGAGTATTCTCATTAGGATAACTGTGATGTGTCAGTGAGTGTCTGTGAGCGTCTGTGAGCGTCTGTGATGTGTCTGTGAGCGTCTGTGATGTGTCTGTGATGTGTCTGTGAGCGTCTGTGATGTGTCTGTGAGCGTCTGTGAGCGTCTGTGATGTGTCAGTGAGTGTCTGTGAGCGTCAGTGAGTGTCTGTGAGCGTCTGTGATGTGTCTGTGAGCGTCTGTGAGCGTCTGTGATGTGTCTGTGAGTGTCTGTGATGTGTCTGTGAGCGTCTGTGATGTGTCAGTGAGCGTCAGTGGGCATCAGTGAGCGTCAGTGAGTGTCTGTGATGTGTCAGTGAGTGTCTGTGATGTGTCTGTGAGCGTCTGTGATGTGTCTGTGAGCGTCTGTGAGCGTCTGTGATGTGTCTGTGAGCGTCTGTGATGTGTCTGTGAGCGTCTGTGATGTGTCAGTGAGCGTCAGTGGGCATCAGTGAGCGTCAGTGAGTGTCTGTGGGCATCAGTGAGCGTCAGTGAGCGTCAGTGGGCGTCAGTGAGTGTCTGTGGGCATCAGTGAGCGTCAGTGAGCGTCTGTGAGCGTCAGTGAGCGTCAGTGAGCGTCTGTGAGCGTCAGTGAGCGTCTGTGATGTGTCAGTGAGCGTCAGTGGGCATCAGTGAGCGTCAGTGAGCGTCTGTGAGCGTCTGTGAGCGTCAGTGAGCGTCTGTGAGCGTCAGTGCGCGTCTGTGAGCGTCAGTGAGCGTCTGTGAGCGTCAGTGAGCGTCAGTGAGCGTCTGTGAGCGTCAGAGTCAGTGAGCGTCAGTGAGCGTCAGTGAGCGTCTGTGAGCGTCAGTGAGCGTCAGTGAGCGTCAATGAGCGTCTGTGAGCGTCAGTGAGCGTCTGTGAGCGTCAGTGAGGGTCAGTGAGCGTCTGTGAGCGTCAGTGAGCGTCAGTGAGAGTCAGTGAGAGTCAGTGAGAGTCAGTGAGCGTCAGTGCGCGTCTGTGAGCGTCAGTGCGCGTCTGTGAGCGTCTGTGAGCGTCTGTGAGCGTCAGTGAGCGTCAGTGAGCGTCTGTGAGCGTCTGTGAGCGTCTGTGAGCGTCAGTGAGCGTCTGTGAGCGTCAGTGAGCGTCAGTGAGCGCATGTGAGAGTCTGTGAGCGTCTGTGAGCGTCAGTGAGCGTCAGTGAGCGTCTGTGAGCGTCAGTGAGCGTCTGTGAGCGTCAGTGAGGGTCAGTGAGCGTCAGTGAGCGTCAGTGAGCGTCTGTGAGCGTCTGTGAGCGTCAGTGAGCGTCTGTGAGGGTCAGTGAGCGTCAGTGAGCGTCAGTGAGCGTCTGTGAGCGTCTGTGAGCGTCAGTGAGCGTCTGTGAGCGTCTGTGAGCGTCAGTGAGCGTCTGTCAGCGTCAGTGAGCGTCTGTGAGCGTCTGTGAGCGTCAGTGAGCGTCTGTGAGCGTCAGTGAGCGTCAGTGAGCGTCAGTGAGCGTCTGTGAGCGTCAGTGAGCGTCAGTGAGTGACTGAGCGTCAGTGAGCGTCAGTGAGCGCATGTGAGAGTCTGTGAGCGTCTGTGAGCGTCTGTGAGCGTCTGTGAGAGTCTGTGAGCGTCTGTGAGAGTCTGTGAGCGTCAGTGAGCGTCAGTGAGCGTCAGTGAGCGTCTGTGAGCGTCTGTGAGCGTCAGTGAGCGTCAGTGAGCGTCTGTGAGCGTCAGTGAGCGTCAGTGAGCGTCTGTGAGCGTCAGTGAGCGTCAGTAAGCGTCAGTGAGCGTCTGTGAGCGTCAGTGAGCGTCAGTGAGCGTCAGTGAGTGACTGAGCGTCAGTGAGCGTCAGTGAGCGCATGTGAGAGTCTGTGAGCGTCTGTGAGCGTCTGTGAGAGTCTGTGAGCGTCTGTGAGAGTCTGTGAGCGTCAGTGAGCGTCTGTGAGCGTCAGTGAGCGTCAGTGAGCGTCAGTGAGCGTCTGTGAGCGTCAGTGAGCGTCTGTGAGCGTCTGTGAGAGTCTGTGAGTGTCAGTGAGCGTCTGTGAGCGTCAGTGAGCGTCAGTGAGCGTCTGTGAGCGTCTGTGAGCGTCAGTGAGCGTCTGTGAGCGTCTGTGAGCGTCAGTGAGCGTCTGTGAGCGTCAGTGAGCGTCAGTGAGCGTCAGTGAGCGTCTGTGAGCGTCAGTGAGCGTCAGTGAGCGTCTGTGAGCGTCAGTGAGCGTCAGTGAGCGTCAGTGAGTGACTGAGCGTCAGTGAGCGCATGTGAGAGTCTGTGAGCGTCTGTGAGAGTCTGTGAGCGTCAGTGAGCGTCAGTGAGTGACTGTGAGAGTCTGTGAGCGTCTGTGAGAGTCTGTGAGCGTCTGTGAGAGTCTGTGAGCGTCAGTGAGCGTCAGTGAGTGTCTGTGAGAGTCTGTGAGCGTCTGTGAGAGTCTGTGAGTGACTGTGAGCGTCAGTGAGCGTCTGTGAGCGTCTGTGAGCGTCTGTGAGAGTCTGTGAGCGTCAGTGAGCGTCTGTGAGTGACTGTGAGAGTCTGTGAGCGTCTGTGAGAGTCTGTGAGCGTCTGTGAGAGTCTGTGAGCGTCAGTGAGCGTCAGTGAGTGTCTGTGAGAGTCTGTGAGCGTCTGTGAGAGTCTGTGAGTGACTGTGAGCGTCAGTGAGCGTCTGTGAGCGTCTGTGAGCGTCTGTGAGAGTCTGTGAGCGTCTGTGAGAGTCTGTGAGCGTCAGTGAGCGTCTGTGAGCGTCAGTGAGCGTCAGTGAGCGTCAGTGAGCGTCTGTGAGCGTCAGTGAGCGTCTGTGAGAGTCTGTGAGCGTCAGTGAGCGTCAGTGAGGCTGATGCGCGTTACGGAATCTATGGAGAAAAATCCTCTCTCTGTCCTGCAGCGGGAAAATACTGTCCTCTACTGATGAAGGAGGGAGGAGTGATCCTGCTGAAGACCGTCCTGGATCTGGAGTCCTCTCACCAGGAGACCAAGGACATGGCACGGTACACACACACACACATTCATCCTATTATTAATATTTACGACATTACTCAGGCTTATGGATCGCCAATGCCACTATAGCATGTGGTTGTTGTCACACGTTTCAACAGGTTCCAACGTGCTCGCCGAATCCGTTGAGTTTTCGCCGAGATATTTGCGCTTCACGGGCGCTTTTTTACGTCTTTAAACATTTACCATTTTGGACAGTATTGTTATGATGATCAACGTGGATAACGTGCACAATTGTGTTATGATTCCAAATCTTTATTGTTCATCAGACGAAACAAAAGCATTTCATTTTCACATGCGTGTAAGCCAAGGTGGTGAGAAAGGCAAGATTGCATATTAAAAAAAATATATATATATAATATATATATAATATATATATATATATATATATATACACATAAAAAAGCAATATTCGAATAGTAACTTCAGCATTCGAATATCATTGATTTTTTTAATATTCGAATTTCGGAATTCGTTCCAACAGCCCTACCCTCAACCAATTGCTCTCATACTTTTGGTTTTAACCCTGTAAAACCTGACATATGAAATGATAGTCAGACACATAACAAGTGTCATGAATTTGACTGATTGGTGGTGAGTCTCCTGCACGGCGGAGTGTGTGTCTCGTGATGTGTGTGTGTCTGATTCCACGTGTTGTTTGTGTGCAGGAAAGTGATGGATCAGTGTGAGAACTTCAAGGAGGATCCCATGGACACCAGCAGGTAAAGATGATGAAGATGAAGATCCAGAAGAGGACGTCACGCTGCTCTCCTGCAACACACGTCTGTCACGTCACACTACAGTGAGGTCACGAGTGAGTGTGTGTGTGTGTGTGTCGGGCTTGTTTCTGTGTTGCACATGGACCGCAGTCGTATCTGCGTCATTCTAGGGGTGTTTCTTTCTGTTTTTATGTGTGCCCGAGTGAGTGTGTGTGTGTGTGAGTGTGTGTGTGTGTGAGTGTGTGTGTGTGTGAGTGTGTGTGTGTGTGTGGAGGACGCTCTGCTCGTGTCCTCATTGCTTCTTCAGAGAGTTTCTCCTCAGTATAAGCTTCTCTGTGATCATCGATCCGAACGCTGGAGTCTCGGGAAGGAAGTTCTCTGGGATTGTTCCCGCTGGATGTTTTATATGAAAGACTCCCGGTTGGAAATCTCACGTGCGTTCTCAGAATACGTTCACACACATCTGACATTAAAGTCTTTTTGGGGAGGTCATCGGTTTATTTCTTTTTTTTCTTGTTGTATTTTTAATCATATTCACTTTTTATTTGTGATGTCATCATGAGGCTGATTGCTGCGAGTGAGTCGAGTCGGCGCTGGTTCCCGGAGCGGTGAGGCTGTATCCGACCTGCTTTTATCTGTGCTGTTCAATTGTTTTTCTACACGGTTCTGAACTGCAATAAAACTATGATGTGCTGAAGTGAGAAGTCCACACAACACTGGGTGTAAAAAGAGCTTCATAATAATAATAGTTGTCAAACACTCTGTTACAGTCGTCTGGCTGCTGTCGTTATTTCTCACAGATGATGATGATGATGATCTGTCACTATATTATATCGGCTCATCGAGTGTGTGTTTAGATCAGTGATGATGTGTGTGTGTGTCTTTACAGCAGTTTCAGCTGTTCTAATATTTAAATATATGTGTTTCGTCTACTGTTGAAAAATCATTTTTGTAAAAGAGGCTTGATATTCATTTTTACAGAGTTTAACAGTATCTGTTTGGATTTCTTAAACTCCTTCACCAATAGAAAATCATCAAATACAGAATTATTTACAAACTTATTTCAAAAGTTTAAAAACTTTAGGGGAAAATGTTAGGCAATGTTTTTTTCTCCCTGATTTGTATAAATGCATCTGTTTAAAAACACAAAACGTGCGCTTGTTTCATGATTCATGCGTGTCAGAACCGGATTACTGGATCCGGATCAGACCGTCTCTGGACTCAGGTAAGACTCAGGTGATTAATATGCAGAAGATATATGCACAATTATTCATTTAGATGTCTGCAATATGGGTACTTTTCTACATTGAGTAAAAGAACAATCAGAACAGAACCTGTACTTCACAATCATGACTGCATTTAGAATCCAGTGAAACTGGCAGGTCAAATGTGTGTAAACACTTTATTTATCTATTTTTATTCCTATATTTTATCATTGCCCTGTCCCTTAGTTTCAATGTAGCCTGTAATATTATAACTTATCATGAACGTTTTGTTATAAATGTATTTAGTTTGCATCTTTGAGAGAGAATGTTATAATAATCCACACACAGGCTATAAGAAAAAAAAATCAAGATTTGGTAAATCATATGACAAGTCGAGATTATAACAAACTAAATTGTCGAAGGATGATAAATCAATCGACTTATTTCAACCTTTTAATAGGCTACAATTATGAGGAGTCATAATTTCGACTTTTCATCACATAATTATGACGTATTTACACTTTCTTTTGATTTATGTCCTAATTATGGATTACAAAAGCGTAATTTTATTTTCTTATGTGGGATAAACGGTTAGTGACGGTCGCGCGCACGGAGACTGACAGGAAAAGGCGCGAATTTCTGAGGTAAGACGGTTTTTTTTACAGTCTATCGGTAAGACGTTTCACGACAATAGTATAACTTTACTGAATGTTTTACTAAGAATACATTAACAACTGGATATTGAGTGCTTGATGAGGTACAGGTATAAGCTGTCACGGTCTGCTTCAGACGAGATTTCGTAGAAGGCTACTCAACTTTTTGATTGTTGGTTGATGTAACGTTACAATTTCAGAATTGTATAAAGAAAACACGATGATGTTGAAATTTTAACGAGACAACAATGACTTTTAGATACTTAAACTGAATGTAATTCTGACATGAAACAGCACATTCACCAAGTTAGCAGTATTTATAGCCTACTTTATTCATCGTATTCATATGTCTACAAGTGATTAAATGAAATTATTCCACTCTTGTAACTTACATGCTGAAGCCTGAGCGGGAAAACTAACTGCAGAGGTGAATATTATAACCATGTACATCATTTAAGCACAGGTTATTGTACAAGATAAAATGTCTTTAAATCATTTACTTCTTTTCAGCAGTGGAGGTGAGTTGTAGACTCTCACAAACATACAGTTTTGTCTCATATAGTCATACACTGTACATTTGTGTTTTTCCGTTCTAGACTCTTAAATGACAGATGGTGCGTTCAAGTCCTCCTGGGAAGTTCGTGTTTACCAGGTCATGTGCGGTCAAGTCACTTTTGTCAGAGTAAGATGGCGGCGTACTTTCTCTTAAATAATTACACAACAATACAGCAAGGTTCTTAAACTCTAGTTTTAGAAAATGAAGAACAAAGAAATGTGCATCATGTGTGCTTTGCTTTTTTATGTTTTTAATTAATTTATGAAGCCACTGCAAACTTTATCGTTACAAATCACATTGTTATATTATAATTCCATCATATTCTGTGCAGGCAATTAGCTTACTTAGCTGTAAATAGAAAAGCCTGATAATATCACTGCTAAATACCTTTAAGTGTTGTGGTGTTCCGCCATGTTTCTCACTGACACGCCCACAACTCGTAGAGATTGGGGCTTAAAGAAAATCCAGAGCTTCCCACGACATTGTGATGGCGTTCATGTGCGTTCAACTCCTAAATACGATCTTTACGAGATGACTTGAACGCACCAATAGAGACACATGAATACGTTCTGCTAAGTTTCTGTTCTTTTCTGATGGATCACTCGTCATCAAGCCAGCGAATCAGCGACCCTTAAAAGTCAGTCAGACTTTCTCAAGGCAGCTGGAGCTTCAGCATTGTCCTCATGCGGATAATCCCGTCGGTTTAAGGGATCATTGGATGATCCGGCATCTTCAGAGCTCGTGTTCTCCTTCTCCGTTTCCCCCCCGGTGGTTTCCTTCTCGTCCTCGTCCTTGACAGGCATCAGCGGGGTCAGATCCAGGAAGGGTTTGTGGTGAGGAATAATGGGTTTGACTGTGTTTTGCGCTTGGATTTGGCTGTTATCGCTTACAGGATTCGGTTTAAGTCTTGATTCATCCGTCCGGGTTGAAGTTGATTTTACTGCCTCTCTGGCAATCGTCGGCAAGCTTTCCTCCCATGCTGGACAATCCTCACTTAATTCAACCGGTAAAAACTCTTCTGAAAAGTCGTTGTCGTCAGCGAACGGTTGATTCTGTGGTTCTTTACGTGATGGTGTCGACGCTTGCTCTTTGAACGTGACCCGAGGCGTCCTCACGATTTCAGTCTCCTCTTCTCTCTCCAGCCGCTCCACAGGTTCGCAGGGAGACGAAGATGCACTGTTCCTAAAGAAATCCGTGATTTCTTCTGCCGGATCGTCTCCCGGATTTTCCACCTCTGCTCTGTGGCGTTCCACGAATCCAGTGAGTTTGAAAGGATCATGCCGTTCTTCGGAGCGCTTGAAGTCGTTCTCCGTGGCCTGAGTCTCAACCTTGAGCACGAACTTCTCCAGATAGCCTCTGTCCTCCCAGTCGGACTCTTGACTGTGGAAGGATTTCTCCGAGGTCACGCTCTCGACCTCGTCGTCCGGCTTCTTCCGGGTCCCGACGGCGTCCGCGTACAGATCCGAGTACAGGAACGGCAAGGCTTTCGGCTCCTCCAGCAGATTAAGGTCAATGATTTTCCGAGGCCCTTCAGGAAGGTATATAGGCGTGAGGACTGACTCCTCACTCCCAAACAAGGCGCTCCCGCTTTCCTTCAGAGAGGATTGGGAAAACTCCCTTCCCTTTTCCCCAGCACTCGCGGCACCATCGCGTGGCTCACCACCTCCGCCGTAAAACACATCGTCCAAGTGTTCGTCAGAAATATCTAGCATACTCGCAGCTGAGGAGACACCGGGATCTGGTTCCACTTCAGGACGAGGTGCGTCTTCAATCTTTTCCTCAATTTGCTCCGGTGATTCTTCAACAAGCGCTGCTCCCGATGGCGCTTGATCGTAGAGCAGCGCGAACTTCTCAAAGTAGTCTTCGGCCGTCGCTCCTCTTCGGGACTCTTGGACATGCGGGAACGAGACTAACGGCTCTGGGATCACCACATGGATCTTCTCGGTCTCAGGAGGAACATCCAGGTCTGGCTCATCTGGGATCTCTGGGGATTTCATAGCTGGCGTCTCCTCAAGGTAGAACAGGTTATCTTCCAAACCTTTGCTCTCCTCTTCGTCCACCGTGGACACTTTATGTGGAGCGATGATGTTCAGTATCTCGGATCCTTCGGAGACTAAACTGAATAGACGGTCTTCTTTCTGATCCGCCGTTCTTTGCTCTTCCGCTCCCGAGTTAGGAACGGACACTTCCACCATTGCCGGTCTCTCCGCTTCCGCAAGGATCTCGCGAGTGACTTGCGGACGAGTCCTTGTTTTGTCGGATCTTCGCTTTTTCTTTCTCCTGCTCATCAGTTCTTTGTCCATTATGAACACGATCCTGCCGGCCGTCCCGGAGGCGTCGAGGGAGTACGAGGGTTCGGAGGCGTTGAACTCGGAGGCCCACGGCGTGGAGCATCGGCTCGATGCGGTCTCCCAGAAGATCCCGCTGTCCTCGCTCTGGACCGTCACCATGGAGAAGCACGGGTCCATCATCAGGCAGTGGAGTTTGGGCTTCACGGCACCGTCCTGGACGACCTCTCTCAGGCTGAGGGGATTCACACCATACACATCAGTCTGATATTATGTTGGAAAAGTTATGCTACAGTCAAACCAAAAATGATTCAGACACCACTTTACTAGTGTGTGCAGGACACTATAGTTCATTTATGTAAGTGTGGAGAGCAAAATAACGTAAACTGCGACATTACACCCAATAATTCTTCATACAGTGACTACCAGTAAAATATGGGACCAAACATGATTCCTCCACTTTGAGCTGATCATGTTTTGCTGAAGTGTGTTTTCTGTAATTGCTAATGCTCTTTTTACACACACACTGAACAACATGAAGCATTGCTTGGTCACTGGTTGAGCTAAACTGGTATTATCTAATTGTGTAGTTAAATTTAACAGCTGACAGATATTCAACATAATTCATGTGTGAGAGTCTAACAGAAGGACGGACAAAACCAGTCAAATATCCACTGATCTGAGAACTCTGAGTTCTGCTCATGTTTATAAACTATAGCGAATAAACTGATGATGTGAGAAATGTTGAAGGATTCTGAATACACTTGGGTTTGACTGTAAATCACATGTAAGGTGTAGGGCTGGGCAAACAAATCTATTTTTTTATTAATCTTTTTTGAATGTGGTCGATTCAAAATCGATTCTCAAAGGCCACAAATCGATTTTTTTCCCATATTTATTTATCTATCACCCAAAAGCCAGATTTTATGCTTGTTTTATCTTAAACATAAAATAACCTGATCCTGTTTGATCAAGGCATGCGACTGTTCTGACGTGTCCAATTTCCAGCATCAATTTTTCATCTTCAAAAAAGCATCAAAATCCTGTTTATTCATTGTGTGCATTTGAAATATAGAGTTGTGTTCTGTGTTAATGTACCCAAAATAAAAAGAGTTTAATATACAGGTTTGTGGCTCTTAATTTATTTTTATTTTTTAACCACTTGTAAACTTATGTTCACTGTTCTTTTTTTTATAAATATAGGATTGGTATTAAATCTATATTCATTGATTCGAATTGGGAATCGAATTTAGAATCGAATCGAACTGTTCCACTGCATGTGCATCCAGCCCGGGTGAGCTGTGCTGTTCTCACCTGTTGCTCAAGTCCTCCTCCGCGGCGTTCCCCGGTTCCGGCTCCGGCTCCGGCTCCTCCAGTGCCGTCATCTCGTTCTCCGGATCCACTATTTCCATTGTTTCCCTTTTCTCTGCGGCTGCATTAGTCAGAGACGCTCGGGGCACGGCTGTCTCCGCATGTCCTCTCAGCTGAGGAACTTCTCTAGCTCAGCATGATCTGTAAATAGCCTGAGGCGTCTCGTTCTCGGCTCCAGCGCAGCGAGCGCTTCTGCCGTCAAGCCTCCTCAAAAGGGGGACATTTCCATTGTGTTGGAAGGTGTATCAGCCCATGCTGGTGAGGGCTGTGTGGCTTTCACTGCCGGCACTTCATGAAACAGGGATTGGGTTTTGTTTTTTTTGCCTTGACTTGCCAAAGCTAAAAATACTTCACGGGTACGTGAGCTTCTTGAGGCGCTGCGGGTCACGGAGAGTTAAAGAAAACACATGCCTTGTCCTAACACACACACACACACACTTGCGCGAGTGCATTTCCCAAGTAGGCGTAAAGACTGCAAGTGTGTGTAGAACTTGATTACTCGATGGGACACACTACTACATGTCTGTTCAAAGATCCTCTTCTTAACGTCTTTAATATGTCCGTTATGGCACATTCATTTGTGGAATATGCAGTGACATAGGCAAAGTTACAGCACAGTAACTAGCGTTAACGACCCGCAAATTAAAACCTGCAAACGTTAGCCCAGCGAACATCGGTGAACAGAAAGCGTGTCAGATGGAGTGTCATACGCCGTCGCCTACTGCAAGGCTGAGGACGGCCTTTACTCTGCTCTACTCCAGTAGATACATGTATATGTCTTGGCAATGAAATACTTTTTTTTTTCCTTTTAATAAATATAGGCTATTCCGGGGGAAGATGGGACAGGTTGTTGTTGCACTGTCTCAGATTGTGTTCAAACCCTGTCTATGTCAAGAATGTGTCCCAAAACCAAGGCCTGTAAAATAATTTCTGTTCAAATCCCATGTCTTCATATTTTCAGCCCTTGAAACTTCTTCAGTTTTACAGCCTGAAAATCACATTATCTGGGAAGCAATATTTGGACATTAATATAATGAAAAGTATTATTCATAGGCATTATCTTCTTACTATGGAAGCTTGTTTCCGCCACAGAATGAAAAATATAAAAGGTAATTGCGACTTTTTATCTCACAATTCTGACTTTTTTTCTCACAATTGCGAGTTTACATCTCGCAATTCTGACTTTATTTCTCAGAATTGCGAGATATAAAGTCAGAATTGCGTGATATAAAATCAGAATTTATTGATATAAAGTCGCAATTGCAGGTTATAAAGTCAGAATTGCGTGATATAAAGTCGCAATTGCGTGATATAAAGTCGCAATTGCGTGATATAAAGTCGCAATTGCGTGTTATAAAGTCAGAATTGCGAGATATAAAGTCAGAATTGATTGATATAAAGTCGCAATTGGGTGTTATAAAGTCAGAATTGTGAGATATAAACTATTCTGAGGGGAAAAAAGTTAGTTTTTTTTTCTTCTTAGAATTGGCCTGATAACTCGCAATTGCGAGTTTATATCTCACAATTGTGAGAAAAGATGTCAGAATTGTGAGATAAAAAGTCGCAATTCTGTCTTTTTTTCTCGAAATTGGGACTTTATTTCTCATAATTGCGACTTTATATCTCGCAATTGCGACTTTATTTCTCAGAATTGCGACTTTATTTCTCAGAATTGCGACTTTATATCTCGCAATTGCGACTTTATTTCTCACAATTCTGACTCCATATCTCGCAATAGTGAGATAAAAAGTCGCAATTATTTAAAAAAAAAAAATGTTATTCAGTGGCGGAAACAAGCTTCCATAACTTACTGATACATTTTGAAAAATAAAACTTTTGATTTGCTTAAATATCTGGTCCTTCTGCTATTACGAAAGATAATTTTGGCTGTTTATAGCATTATCTCTTTTAATGATAAAAACACTAAATAATAATTTTGACTATGTATTGAGATAGTGTGTGTTTAGTGTACTGGGGATAGTGTGTGTTTATTGTACTGGGGATAGTGTGTGTTTAGTGTACTGGGGATAGTGTGTGTTCAGTGTACTGGAGATAGTGTGTGTTCAGTGTACTGGAGATAGTGTGTGTTTAGTGTACTGGGGATAGTGTGTGTTTAGTGTACTGGAGATAGTGTGTGTTTAGTGTACTGGAGATAGAGTGTGTTTAGTGTACTGGAGATAGTGTGTATTTAGTGTACTGGAGATAGAGTGTGTTTAGTGTGCTGGAGATAGAGTGTGTTTAGTGTGCTGGAGATAGTGTGTGTTTAGTGTACTGGGGATAGCGTGTGTTTAGTGTACTGGGGATAGTGTGTGTTTAGTGTACTGGGGATAGTGTGTGTTCAGTGTACTGGAGATAGTGTGTGTTCAGTGTACTGGAGATAGAGTGTGTTTAGTGTGCTGGAGATAGTGTGTGTTTAGTGTACTGGAGATAGTGTGTGTTCAGTGTACTGGGGATAGTGTGTGTTCAGTGTACTGGAGATAGAGTGTGTTTAGTGTGCTGGAGATAGTGTGTGTTTAGTGTACTGGAGATAGTGTGTGTTTAGTGTACTGGAGATAGTCTGTGTTTAGTGTACTGGAGATAGTCTGTGTTTAGTGTACGTTTAGTGTACTGGAGATAGAGTGTGTTTAGTGTGCTGGTGATAGTATGTGTTTAGTGTACTGGGGATAGTGTGTGTTTAGTGTACTGGGGATAGTGTGTGTTTAGTGTACTGGGGATAGTGTGTGTTCAGTGTACTGGAGATAGTGTGTGTTCAGTGTACTGGAGATAGTGTGTGTTTAGTGTACTGGAGATAGTGTGTGTTCAGTGTACTGGGGATAGTGTGTGTTTAGTGTACTGGGGATAGTGTGTGTTCAGTGTACTGGAGATAGTGTGTGTTCAGTGTACTGGGGATAGTGTGTGTTTAGTGTACTGGGGATAGTGTGTGTTCAGTGTACTGGAGATAGTGTGTGTTTAGTGTACTGGAGATAGAGTGTGTTTAGTGTGCTGGAGATAGTGTGTGTTTAGTGTACTGGAGATAGTGTGTGTTCAGTGTACTGGGGATAGTGTGTGTTTAGTGTACTGGGGATAGTGTGTGTTCAGTGTACTGGAGATAGTGTGTGTTCAGTGTACTGGAGATAGAGTGTGTTTAATGTACTGGAGATAGAGTGTGTTCAGTGTACTGGAGATAGTGTGTGTTTAGTGTACTGGAGATAGAGTGTGTTCAGTGTACTGGAGATAGAGTGTGTTTAGTGTACTGGAGATAGTGTGTGTTTAGTGTACTGGAGATAGTCTGTGTTTAGTGTACTGGAGATAGAGTGTGTTTAGTGTGCTGGAGATAGTGTGTGTTTAGTGTACTGGGGATAGTGTGTGTTTAGTGTACTGGGGATAGAGTGTGTTTAGTGTACTGGAGATAGTGTGTGTTTAGTGTACTGGAGATAGTGTGTGTTTAGTGTACTGGAGATAGTCTGTGTTTAGTGTACGTTTAGTGTACTGGAGATACTGTGTGTTTAGTGTACTGGAGGTAGTGTGTGTTCAGTGTACTGGAGATAGTGTGTGTTTAGTGTACTGGGGATAGTGTGTGTTTAGTGTACTGGAGATAGTGTGTGTTCAGTGTACTGGAGATAGTGTGTGTTTAGTGTACTGGAGATAGTGTGTGTTTAGTGTGCTGGAGATAGTGTGTGTTTAGTGTGCTGGAGATAGTGTGTGTTTAGTGTACTGGAGATAGTGTGTGTTTAGTGTACTGGAGATATTGTGTGTTTAGTGTACTGGAGATAGAGTGTGTTTAGTGTACTGGAGATAGTGTGTGTTTAGTGTACTGGAGATAGTGTGTGTTTAGTGTACTGGGGATAGAGTGTGTTTAGTGTACTGGAGATAGTGTGTGTTTAGTGTACTGGAGATAGTATGTGTTCAGTGTACTGGAGATAGTGTGTGTTTAGTGTACTGGAGATAGTGTGTGTTTAGTGTGCTGGAGATAGTGTGTGTTTAGTGTGCTGGAGATAGTGTGTGTTTAGTGTACTGGAGATAGAGTGTGTTTAGTGTACTGGAGATAGTGTGTGTTTAGTGTACTGAAGATATTGTGTGTTTAGTGTACTGGAGATAGAGTGTGTTTAGTGTACTGGAGATAGTGTGTGTTTAGTGTACTGGAGATAGAGTGTGTTTAGTGTACTGGAGATAGAGTGTGTTTAGTGTACTGGAGATAGTGTGTGTTTAGTGTACTGGAGATAGTCTGTGTTTAGTGTACTGGGGATAGTGTGTGTTTAGTGTACTGAAGATATTGTGTGTTTAGTGTACTGGAGATAGAGTGTGTTTAGTGTACTGGAGATAGTGTGTGTTTAGTGTACTGAAGATATTGTGTGTTTAGTGTACTGGAGATAGAGTGTGTTTAGTGTACTGGAGATAGTGTGTGTTTAGTGTACTGGAGATAGAGTGTGTTTAGTGTACTGGAGATAGTGTGTGTTTAGTGTACTGGAGATAGTGTGTGTTTAGTGTACTGGGGATAGTGTGTGTTTAGTGTACTGGGGATAGAGTGTGTTTAGTGTACTGGAGATAGTGTGTGTTTAGTGTACTGGAGATAGTCTGTGTTTAGTGTACTGGAGATAGTGTGTGTTTAGTGTACTGGAGATAGTGTGTGTTTAGTGTACTGGAGATAGTGTGTGTTTAGTGTACTGGGGATAGTGTGTGTTTAGTGTACTGGAGATAGTGTGTGTTTAGTGTACTGGAGATAGTGTGTGTTTAGTGTACTGGGGATAGTGTGTGTTTAATGTACTGGGGATAGAGAGTGTGTTTAGTGTACTGGGGATAGAGTGTGTTTAGTGTACTGGAGATAGTGTGTGTTTAGTGTACTGGAGATAGTGTGTGTTTAGTGTACTGGAGATAGTGTGTGTTTAGTGTACTGGAGATAGTGTGTGTTTAGTGTACTGGAGATAGTGTGTGTTTAGTGTACTGGGGATAGTGTGTGTTTAGTGTACTGGAGATAGTGTGTGTTTAGTGTACTGGAGATAGTGTGTGTTCAGTGTACTGGGGATAGTGTGTGTTCAGTGTACTGGGGATAGTGTGTGTTCAGTGTACTGGGGATAGTGTGTGTTTAGTGTACTGGAGATAGTGTGTGTTTAGTGTACTGGAGATAGAGTGTGTTTAGTGTACTGGGGATAGTGTGTGTTTAGTGTACTGGGGATAGTGTGTGTTTAGTGTACTGGGGATAGTGTGTGTTTAGTGTACTGGAGATAGTGTGTGTTTAGTGTGCTGGAGATAGTGTGTGTTTAGTGTACTGGAGATAGAGTGTGTTTAGTGTACTGGAGATAGTGTGTGTTTAGTGTACTGAAGATATTGTGT